GACTAGAAGCTCTCTACTAAAATATTTTTCAACTTTCACAGAACTTGTAGACAATTTGCTACCCGCTATTCAACTGCCACATACGTTCTTGTCAGTGGCAAGTCACCAAGACCTGTATGCACATATCATTCTACGGTCTCAACAGAGGATATTCTCAACTGGTGGATGATAGAGTCAAACATCTTAGGAGGCATCTCCTTTTTCGGGCTAGTCCCGAATTTACACCTGTTTGTAGACACTACCTGGCAGGGGTGCTCATTTACAGGGCCAGACAGCCTCAGGGCTGTGGTTCGGCGCACAACAGGTTTGGCACTTTAACAATCTAAAGTTCATTCTGGCCATCTCACATTGGCAGGAGCAGCTACAGTCCACCCAACTCCAATATCCACCGACAAAAGCATGGTGATGTGGTGCCTGTGCATTCAAGAGACAACGGACTCACTCCCTTCTGCAACAGACATTCATTTTCTTTCTTCTAGTGGATCGTCTGGGACTTAAATTCATAGTCCAGCACATCCCTCGGAACATCCTGACTCGCGCATTGGTGGCCGGCGAGGAGGTGGTTCGTTGACCCTAAAAAAAAACTTGCAGAAGACGATCCACTACCCCTCCCAGTGTGGTCCAACCTACTCATCCACCCTCATGGCAAACTACCTCAACCAACGCCAGGCAGTTTTCATCTGCACACTTGGTTCGTCTTTGAAAGACTTTACATGCCAAGGGCTAATCGGAGTGGGCAGCTAAGGACATTGTTTTGGCACATCGTCCCTCTCCCAAAGGCTTCAGAAACCTCAAAAAATGTTAAAGCTTGGGTGACAGGCATTAATGTGCTAGGTGATATTCCATCAAGGTCACATGACAGCGGCAATGGTCCATATAAAAAGTGGGATCTGAGAAACAACTTTTCACTTCATGCAAGACCATGGCTAGGCGCTGCCCTTTTATTGTTGTAAGGTAAGCAGTAAATGCATTAAGAGGTAATGCAGGATAAGTATACAAATGTAAAAAATATTTAGATTTTACTAATTTTGTGTGATAGTCAAACTACAACAAATATGACTTTTAACAAGTATGGCATTTATGATATATGTATCCATTCTCTGTCAACTAAGGTTCATTTCAAGGCGTCAATAGTGGTAATCTTATTGAGGTGGTTGAAAATAAGCAGAGCCCTATTGTAGCTTTTATGCCGGCGTCAACTGCTCAGCAGCGCCCATCTGCTAGACCTGCGCCTTCTGGCGTATCCACATTGCCAGCACCCTTTGGCACATCTACGATGTTTGCACCTCTTGGTGCCTCGACCTCCCTGCGACATCAGGTAACTCTCCCTTGGCTGCACCGTTGGGCTTTAACTCTACACTGACCTCCCATCACGGCCTATTGGTAGACTGTGCCTCCAGTTCCGGCAGCACCACAAGCTCTCTTGGTCCTTTGGACCCAACGTGGATGCAGACTTTTAGCCAGGCCATGTTTCAGCAAATGCATGTGTGACCCCTTTTACAGGTGAAGGAGCCTGGGCCTGCCTACCAGCAGTCTAGTCTAGTCTAGTCTAGAATTAAAACTGCAGCACTAATCATGACCAAAAAAATAATAGGGATAGATCTAGGATGCCTTCACACAGAATTGTTGCTTTATTTTCATAAGTGACACTTTTAAGATAAGTATGTGGGCCCTTCGGACGCATCATAAACCACAGGCTGCATTATCATTTAACATTATCAGTTTGCATAAAAACTTGGTTCAAAAAGTCAACTTTTGCATTTTCTTGCAATACTACACCCAGATGTCAGGTAAAATTCTGTCACAAAGGTAAATATAAGGAATTCAGTTTGAGGCTTTCAAATATGTGGTCGACTGATTGATGTAACACAGATTGCATGCTGTCTGGGTGATCACAAAATAAGGCAGGAAGTAAAATTTTGCAAGTTTAGTAAGTTTAGTTTTTGATCCCCTACATTGCATGCATAGTGGATGTAACATTGATTGAATACATTTATTTAGACATAGATTGATGGCATAGGTACCTGTGATTATTGGTTCATTCTTTGCATTTGCCATGGAGAATTAAGTTAATAATAAGGGCATGAATTTAGTGAGGTAAACAGGATACGAAATGGTCATGGAATGCCTGGTTGTCGGAAAATATTTTCCAGAGCCTGTTTCTAATTTCTTTGTTTCTAACTACCGGGGTAAATGTAGATATTGAATTTTGCTAATTTACTCAGAAAAAATTACATTTTCATTGTAAGTATTAATGAATTTATATTATCTTATTTGGAAACTAAAAATGTGAAAAAATACACTTCTTCAAACCTGATACCGAGGTCTTTCTGTACATTGTGTGATGAGGGTGCCCGTCTAATGGCTTTATTATGCCAGCAGGTTAGCATGCAAGTCCAGCATTAGAAATTGGCACTAGTCCTATCGTACATGCCAAACTGCCCATTAGTTAAAGGTATCCTAAGGACTAGTAGTAATTTGCCCTTTTTGAAGGTTGTGCTATGTGTCATTATAAGGACCAGTGGACTAAATATGTTAGTTTCTAACACTGTCAACACAAGGTACAAGGGCTGGTCAAAAGGTTTTAAGCCTGACTAAGTTTCAACTGTGAGCCGTAACAAAGTGAACTAGTCAATGTAGTACATTGTTTGAGTAGTTCATTGCTAGTGTATTTGGTCTATTGAGGCCGTTGGTACTGTTTGTAGTGACAGCCAGTTGAACGTGATAGGGGTCCAATGGACACAGAAATGGAAAAGAACGAGTACCGAACAGTCATCAAGTTTTTTACTTTAGAGAAAAGTACTACCGAAGAAATTCATGACCGCATGTCACAAGTGTATGGGGATATGTGCCCTATCTATTCCACTGTTAAACGTTGGGCAGCTATGTTTAAGGCTGGGAGAACAAGCCTTGATGATGACCCTAGGTCTGGATGTCCCTCTACTTCCATCAATGAAGATTCAATCAAGAAAATAGAAAAATTTATGCTGTCAGATAGATGTATTACCATTGCTGAACTTGAGGAAGACGCAGGTCTAAGCCATGGATCCATTGAAACTATTATTCATGAACTTTTACAGATGAATAAGATATCTGTTCTTTAGGTGCGACAGTTTTTCTGATCTTAAGGAGAAAAGAACTGACATTAGAGAAAATGTAGAGCTTGTTTTGTTTGTTAGGCTTAGAACTTTTGACCAGCCCTCATAACTAAAGCCAAATGGTATCAAATAATACAATTTGGAAATAAAATATCTGTGAGAAGTTAATAACAGAAAGTTGTGGCAGCACACGATTGAATGTTGCTAGTTTTTGTATGGCCCAAATGGGATGGCAAAGCCCAATATTTCTCCAGGCCTAGAGGCATTCATGCTTTAATTTAAACACTGTCTATTTATCTATGTCATATTTATCATATACTGAGATATGAGCAGATGAGAGATACTTCACTACTGCTTGTTATCAATCTCATTCATATCTATACAAGCAGGAAGTACTTCAACATTGCTGTATGACTACAATGATGGGAATGTGTTAAATGTTCATCATGTTATATCTTATTACACATAGAGTTGGAAATAACTGAGTTCATAGAAATCGTATATGCACTTGTGCAAATATCACTTCATGCACACCAGTGAAATGTTAACGTCATCTGGATATCGTTATTTTTTTAATGTTATTGTGACTTAAGGTCGTAATAACATCACACTAGAAAAGAAGTCATAGCTGAAGATAGTTGACATCATTCAACAATTGTGGTTTTCGAAGATGGTGGTCCTGATCAGTACATTTATCTGAAAGGGGGGGGGGGGGGGGCTGAAAAAGATTAAGAAATAACGAGTAATAAGTAAATTTTTACTTTTGCATGTGTGTTGTACTGATATGACGAAATGAATGTCAGAATTCTTGTACTTCCTGAGCGAGACAATGATTCTACTGACGTCAACAATGCCGCCTGGATGATGTAAACTGTATACTGGTGCTTGTGAACTCGCATGTGTGTCAAACTGATTTTACGAAACTTTTGTAAGAATTCATATTGCATGTATTAATAATAAGCACTGCCGAGTTTGGATTCAGTGGAGTTTTCTATATTCAAGTGTTCAATTTCCTTGTCATGGGCACCATGCCAATTTACTCTTGTCAAAGGGGTACGCAAAGGACGTTATCTAGATTACCAGTTGTCAGACTGCTATTTTGTAGAAGCCCCAGTGACTGAGTGGGTTAGATCACAGACTTTGTGTGCTGGTGATTAGGTGCCTCACTCTGAAAGTGGATGGGACTCAACCCCCCAAAGTACTAGAATTTGTTCTTTCATAAGAAAGTGTAATCCCAAATATGATATTTGTTAACATTCGACCACTTTCTGAAAAGCATTGTGTATTCATAGAATTCCACCTGATTATCAGGATACTGTTTCAAGGTTTGTCAGCACCATCCCCGATGTTTATGGGTTCTATCAAAGTGGTAAATGTTAAGATCTGCATCACATTTATCATGTTTATGCTAGGTTCTAGACGTGCCTCTGTGGGGACAGGTGGCCAGGTCATCTAAGGAGATATACTTTGTTGTGCAGAGTTGCATCCCTTAGGCGTGCGTGCTAGGATCCCAATATCATGCTGATTGTTGGTTCAAATCCCAGGTTCACACTGGTTATGGTCCTTGGTTTGTTAGAACCATACCCATGCTGTTGAAATTTAAACCTGCATCATTCTTTGCTTACCTCCAACATTAAGATGCCATGCCATGCCATAAACCAAGCACTGATCAAAGTGGCATTAAAGCAGGTTAACTCACTTGCTCTCTCGTCCCTCCAGCTGTTCTGCAATGTAAGTGTAACTGGTAAATGGTTGTATGCATTTAGAATTGTTCAGAAGCCATTTCTTTATAGAAGTTGTCTGATCTACGATCATCTAACATGAATATAACTTGATTACAGTATGTCTTATTTAAAAATGAAAGCTCATCTATAGTTTTTGACAAGCCACCATTTGTTTCAGACAACACCTACCACAATGCCGTTGACCAAGCGGCGTATCGAGCCGGTCAACGTGAGCCGTGTGAAGGTAGACAAGACAGTACGCAATGAGCTGGAGTGCGTCACCAACAACACCCTTGCCAACATTATACGCGAACTCAGCAGCCTTAGCAGGCATGCAGAGGACATGTTCACCGAGCTGTCCCACGAAGCAACAGTTGTGTTTGGGCGCTCTGTTCAGCTGCAGAAACGCATTGATCACCTGAGGGACAAAGTTACACAGCTCAATGCAACAGTGGAAGAAGGTCAGTCTTTCACAGCCTGGTGTAGGATGCCTTCCATCACTGCACATAATCAGCCTTGCATAAAAATGTCCACTAGCCTTGACTTTTCATGTGCTTATCTCTAGGCTTGTTTTACAGTAGATTATAGTCTTAAATGTATGGACCATAAACTACGCTTCTCAACTGAAAGAAATAAACTTGGTCTTCTGTCTAGAGTCTGCACATGTGAGATGGCTGAAGTTGATGACAAACCACTTCCAATAAAGAGAAAGTAATTTCATGACAGCCACTACATTCATATGTCACAAAACAAAAGAGAGTATAACTCACCTTTTCTGTTGTGAAATAGACTCTTTGCATCTTTTTTTCGAAGTTTGCATAACAATCTGGTGAGTGTGTAAATTTGTCAACCTTCTGATGCTACCATGCATGTTTAAATATTGTGCATGAGATCCAGCAGAAATCACAGAGTGCCTGCTCCCTCTCATATAGACTCTCTGGTGTAAATGAACAAGTTTGTTGTCAGTGTAGTGTTACTTCATGTAGTTTGATATTCTGTATCGACAGTGTCCTTGACTGACATCCACACCCGCAAGCCATTCAAGAGCACGATTGTGAAGGAGCAACAGGTGATATCGCGGCTCACCATCCCCATGGCCCTGATTGACAACTACAACCAGTGCGAATCTCCGCCGGCACTCGACAAGCTCAATGAGTTCAGGTGAGTAGTCAATGAACACAACTTACACCAGAGAATCTTCACTTGTTTCTTTGTTGGCAAGGCACATATTCCACCTGCTCGTGTATGTGCAATGAGCTTGTTATCAGAATAAACCGATTATGATAGTAATAATTGTCATTCTTGAATGTGGGGGTGCACAGGTGACCCCGGTAGTCTTATGAGCCGCAATTCGCTGTGCAGATTTGCGTTCCTTGGACACACCAGAAACCTATCATCGTGGGTTTGAATCCCGGGTTCTTCCTGATTATGTTTTTAAGTTTGTCACCACAGTACATTTACCTCATGGAGTCATGGGTTTCACTGAAATGGTAAATGTCTAAGACCTGCATCACATTTTGCCTTCCTTCCACAGTAAGCTCACACGCTGTGCTACAACTGGAATACTGTTAAAAGCAGCATTTAATTCACTCTCTTGAATTGTTGTACACGTTGAAACATGCTGGAAGCATTAATTTCTAGCTGAGCTATTTCTTAAAGTCAGATTATTCTGTTGTATATTCTGGATTTTTAAATTCTTAGGTCTCTGCTACCATAATGCTTAAAACTGGAAAATTATCCACAACACTTTCAAAACTTGCTTATTATTAAATATTATTAATATTAAATGTTTTACTAAAGCATTTCTGCAAGATTGCATCAATACATTTCGTATTGCGCAAAAGTATTGCAATAAACAGATGTATTGGTATTTTGTTATACTCCTAATGCTCTTGTTGATTGTCAGTGTATAAAGTCATGACTGTAAAGATAAAGAATATGCCAATAAATTCTTTTTTTGCAGTGATTATTTATTTGATGTTTGATATCACAAGACTATATTCAAGATATTGATTGTCTGTTCTAAATTTAATTAACATTATAATCATATGTGAGGCAAACTTCAAACATCTTTTTTGATTTGTGAATGGTACACCGAATTGCAGTCTCCCCTTAGCTCTTTGCCATCTCTGCTACTGCCAGTTCACCCCCCTATGTGTATGTTGTGTACAGGGAGGATGGTAAGGACTGCATGAAGTTTTACACAGACTCCACCTACTTCGTGGAGCTGTGGGTGCGGGAGATGGAAAAAGAGATGGAGGAGAAGAAATCAGAACTCAACAAAAAGAGGGACAAGAAGAAGGTAAGACCAGCTCAGCTTGTCAGTGTCATCTCTGTCACTGTGTCTGTGGAACGAGTTGTGACTGTCATGGTTTATATCCAGATGTGCTCTGACTTGTGCCACATATGTGAAGTTACAAGAAATGTACTTTTGGTAACAGATATCCTTTCTTCTCGAAGCCTTGTTCCAAATCAATCCAAGTGCTACTCAGGCATTGGTTAAGATACACATAGAGCTAACATTATTCTGTGGAACAAGGCCCTTAAAGCAGATGTAGTAATTTCTCTTGCAAGAATTTCTGAGGTTTCCTTCCCATGACCACCACCAACTCATTAGAAATGTCTGGGAGATAAAAGCAGTCAAAAGATACCAGTTTGTGTTAGTTTTATTTCTATTATTTACAATATTTTTTACTTATCCTGCATTACTCCTTAATGCATTCACTGCTTACCTTGCAACAAAAAAAACTGGGACAGCTAACCGGCGATGGTCCTTGGGTGAATGGCTCTGTTCGTAATCCCACTTTTACCTCCCGCCCTTCGCTGTCCCTGTGACCTCACGTGACCAAAGGTCAACTCTTCACATCACTGCCTGTTGCGACATAGCTAGGACGTTTCCAGCGGAGCTCTCGTTTTTTTTGGATTTATTTAGACCTTCCATTCGTCTACCATTCTAAAATTCTTCTGCGATGGGTGATGTATACCTTTCATATTACTTTCAACATGTTGTGAAGTTGTATTTGACGTTTTGATGCTGAAAAAAAAGACGTGTCTTTTTTTTCTTTTTCTTTTTTTCTTTTTCCGCCACATGCTATCTGTTCCCCGCCATTTTGAATTGTGTTACAATTGTTTGCTTGGTAAAGGTGGTCAATTGTTTACAATTATCGGCTAGGTATGTATAACATTTCATATGTTTTCAATACTACTAGCTTCGGCGGTTCATTGAGTTGCGTATATTCAAGCATTTATACACTTTCAACTCGTTCAAAAATTTTGCCGAGAAATTATCTACGGCAGTAAATTCCAGTCCCGTTTTCTTCTAGTATATTATTGCGTAACTTATGCTTGCGCGTTGTACTAATTGTCGTGGAAAAAAATCTATTCAAGATCCTCACCCACGTTGTTTGTCGTGTACACAAATTTGTGCACCAAATTCTAAATGTGTTTTTTGTAGAAACCTCTCTCCAACGAGTTTTGCGAGGTATAGGCAAGTTACTCACAAACGTATTTTGCAGCAATCACGTCGTGAGAAAAGGAAAATGTCTCTATCACTATCGCAAATGAGCGAGGGACAGGATTCGATCATTACGACGCAACCTTTATCTATGAGGGATAATAGGTCGGCCGTAACTGTCACCGCGGAGGTGCACATGCCACCGGAATCTTCTCTCCCGGAGAATGTTGGGCGTATTATAATTGCACCTAATTTGGAGAATTCTACATCTGTTACGTCTGCAGACAGTGCGCCAGCGTCTCAAGATGCGTTGTCGGGGATAGCGCCAAGCCAAGCTAGACTCAAGTCTACTCCATTGAGCATTGCGCCTCATATGCCTGCGCCGAGCTTCTACAATGACATCAGCCCAAGGGTTATCAGCGTATGATATTACGCAACCAGCGCACGATCAGCTTAGCGCTGTACAAACGTATCCAGCGCAGACGCCTATGCCAATTCCAAACACTAATTGGATGCAAAATTTTCTACAATCAATGTGGCAGCAGTCTATGACACAACTGTATCCTGCGCCTACGCCTACGCCTACGCCTACGCCTATGCCTATGCCTACGCCTACGCCTATGCCTTTGCCTTTGCCTACGCCTATGCCTATGCCTATGCCTATGTATCAGACACCTGCATCAACTACATCTACGGCACATATTTTACCGCCTACTCCAGTGACTAATGTGTATAACACTCCTATTATGAGTCATAATACAGTACATTCTTCGTTGAGTAGTACCTGTACACCTGCCCGTACTTGGACATCAACTCATGATTCCTTGTCACCAGGCAGTTCATCTTAGCCCTCGGTCAGAGGTAATATTGCACATCGGAATAGAAGTCGTTCACCATCAAGACTTACACATCAACAACGTTCTGATTCATCAGATGGTTCTAATGGTGAGGAGGGAGATTCCGCGAACGAATGGAATACTCACCTTAGCCTGGCTCAAGTACCTGATTGGGTAGCTGACCGCCTCATTTCAGTACCTTCCCCTGGTAGTGGGGTAGATAAAAAAGATACTATTTGGACACATCCTACGTCGATTCCGATTGACCCTATGATGTCCGATATGATTAGATCTTTGGATGAGGACTTCTCCAGGCTCACACTTACGCCGTCATTCAGACCTCCCAGGTTTAGGAAAGATGAATTTCCTATTCATGGCTTTGAGGCAGCAAACCAGGCACATAGTTTGGATGAGGATATACAGAGAATGACCTACCACTCTTAAGGTTCAGGATACCAGAGTTGCGTTTATTGAAACAGAAATCCAAAGGGTATTAAAACCTTTAGCGGCATTAGCATCGTCTACTCGGGCGGTAGAGCAGGATCTGTCAGAGGATAATCCTTACCGACTAGATCACCTCCAAACTATAGTTGATTTTCAACAGCGTCAGATTGACCATATGAGGAATCATCTTAAAGCTGCGTTGGCAGAAATAACTGTCACTCGGAGATTGGGTTATTTAGCCTTATCTACTTGGGACTCAGAGTTTAAACGCAGATTGCTTCGTCAACCTTGGTCTTCCTCATCTCTGTTCAACGAACAGATTTCAGACACACAAGCGAAGGTTTCCAGTTACGCTAGGGATGAAACAGCACACAAGGCTTTGGAGCATGTTTCTCAAATTTTTTCCCAGCGATCAGGCAAGTCAGGCAACTAAGGAAGGACAGGTGCAAGATTCTTTTCGTGGCAGAGGAAAACCCCAGGGTTCTTATCAATCCCGACGTGGTAAATACCACAGTAAGGGAGGTGATAGGAGGGGCAAACATTGAAATGTTAGACAGTCACGACTGGGATCTCCTACCCCCAGTCGTCCCAATTGTCGATACCCCTGTAGGCGGGAGACTGAATCGGTTTTGGAAGAACTGGAGCATCCTCAGGGACGATTATGTTCTCAACATTCTACGCCACGGTTACCAACTAGACATAGAGGTTTTTCCTCCGTTGACCACGGCACCCATTCCGGGGAATTATCCAAGGAAGCAACATCTCCTTTTAAAGGCCAACATAGACTTACTATTGGAGAAAAGAGCCGTAGAGATTATACACACCCCAGCGCTAACTCCGGGATTTTATTCTCACATCTTCCCGGTACCCAAGAAGGGCTCAGACAAGATGAGAATGATACACAATCTCTCTGTTTTCAACAAGCTCTATCTGAAGCGTCCACCCTATTTCCGCCTCATTACATTGAGACTACTCAGAACCAGCATAAAAGCGTTCGATTCCTTGATCAGTATCGATCTACAGGATGCATATCTGCACATACCGATTCATCCCAAAGATCGCAGATTCCTCAGGTTCCAGTTCAATGGGGTCCACTACCAGTGGGCAGTACTCCCATTTGGCATTTCAGTGGCCCCGTGGCTATTTACACGAATAATGAAGCCCATAACTGTGTTTCTACAGCTGAGGAACATTTGGTTCCAGTTGTACATAGACGACTGTCTCCTGTGTCATCAACACACACCGACGAGAGTATGTCACCGGGAATTCACCAGAAGACTACTATATCAACTGGGCTGGATAGTCAACGAGGCAAAATCTGAGTTAACTCCATCATTTGGACTCCAGTTCATAGGAGGACTATTTCAAACAGATCAGAACCTCCTGTCGGTCCCCAGGGACAGATGGCACAAGATTTTACGCCTCCTGTCACCTGCTCTTTGTCAACCACTCACACTTCACCAATGGCAAGTGTTGCTAGGGTAACTCACCTCAGCCCAGGACCTAACCAACAGAGGCCGATTACAGTTACGCCCAATACAACAATTCCTGAATCCCTACATCAGGAGTCAGGATCCACTCAGGGCCATCATGCTACCAACGCGATTGAGACCTTATCTCCGTTGGTGGACGATAGAGTCGAATGTCTTAGGAGGAATCTCTTTATCAGGGTTGTCCCCGAATCTACACCTATTCGCAGACGCCTCCCTTCAGGGGTGGGGTGCTCACCTACAAGACCAGACAGTCTCAGGGCTATGGTCAAGCGCTATGGAACAACACACTCCAACTCGCTACTTCAACAGACATTCAGGTTTTTCCATCTAGTGGAATCGGCTGCAACTACAGTTCATAGTTCAGCACATCCCCGGATGTCGAAACATTCTGGCCGATGCTCTATCACGCCCAGACAGGGTAGCACCGACCGAGTGGAAACTTCACACAGAAGCATTCCAATTATTGGTTCGAAAGTTCGGGCAACCAAACATCGACCTGTTTGCAACTTGCCAAAACCACCAACTTTTGACATATGTCTCCCAGTTACCAGATCCGAGGGCTTGGGCGGTGGATGCATTCAGCATTCCTTGGGAAGGAATAAAGGCGTATGCATTTCCGCCACCAGTTCTACTTCCCAGGGTAATACAAAAGATCCAAGAGACAAGAACACATGCTCTGACTTTGGTCGCGCCCTGGTGGCCAGCGAGAGGGTGGTTCGTCGAGTTCAGGAAGCTAGCAGGAAACGATCCACTACCCCTTCCACAGTGGTCCAACCTACTGATCCACCCTACTGATCCACCCTCACAGCAAATTGCCTCATCCAACACCAGACAAATTTCGTCTGCATGGTTGGTTCGTCTTAAAAAGGCATTAAGTGCAAAAGGCTATTCGGCTCGGGCAGCAAAAGCTATAACCTTAGCTCATCGTCCCTCTACTAGAAGCCTTTACGATGATAAGTGAGGATCGTTTGAAACTTTTTGCAAGGCAAAAGGTCAAGATCCTACTACGGCTTCACCTCAGTTTTTAGCTGAATACCTCCTACATCTGCGTACCCAGAGACACTTGAAAGGTAGCACCATTACCACGTACTTGGTTGCACTTAACTCAGTGTTGGCCGTTCCGGATAATCGTAAGATTACTAAGATCCCGGAACTACAGGCCTTATTACGCTCATTCAGGCTTGAGGATCAGAAGACCAAGTTCCGCCCACCTGCGTGGGATCTGAACGTTGTACTTCGAGGTTTGCGAGGACCCCCATTTGAGCCCCTCAATGCATCCTCCTTTTATGACCTCACCAAGAAAACAATGTTTCTCTTGGCATTAGCCACAGCGGCACGGGTGAGCGAATTACATGCAATCGACATCACCCGGGTTCGTTTTGAGCATGGGACGCACGGAGCGGTACATCTAGGGTTGTGCTGGGATTTTATTGCCAAGAATCAATTACCAGGCCAACCTGATCGTTCCTTCACCATTCCACCAATCTCGACGATTGTGGGCAGTGAGGATGAGGGTGAACTTCTATTATGTCCGGTACGGGCACTGCGAATTTTCATCCGCCGTTCCAAGACTAGGCGTGGTTCGAGGAAGCGGTTATTTATACCCGTATCTACTACAGAGCCTTTTCCTGTTCGGTGTAATTGATCAGATTTCGCCAAGGGAAGACAAGTTATTGTCATCAGGGCTATAATCATATAGTAAGTAAAGATTTGGCTGAGCAGCTCGTTGTCTTTATTACTAAAATGTATAGGGAACTATTCTTTAATTCCCATGTGCAATTGTTTGCCACATTGTAATACCCTACCGTATTAGCGTTTTCTCTCAACTTTTCCGCTTAACGCTTTACTGACCAATCTATGTCATGTTGTCAGGGTGTGAATTATTGAGGTTTTTGTATTGTGAGGATTTCCCACCTCCATACCGTCCGATACAGATGCATTAACTCTTTCATCACTGGCTGCCCCAGAGTTATGTCCCTTGAGACCCTGCAGTCCCTGACACTGACAAGGCCTGTACACTGGCCTCCCTGGCAGTATTATTGGAAAATCACACTATCATTTTTGATGCACTTTTTCTACCAGAAACTTGCTTTTAACATACATTTATCATATACCATTGTAAAGAGGATTAAGTATACTTTAATATTCTTTGTTGTTATTGTCTCTAACCTTTGTTATTTTCTAATTACTGGTGTTTACAAGTGAAATAAAACTTGAAAACACTGAATAAATGAAAAGAGACAATGAATTTTGGCTCAAATTGTATTACAAATCACAAAAATAAAACACAGATACAAGGTAAACATAACACAGTGGTCTTGTCATCTTGGACGGCACAGGTAATCCCAGGTGTTACAGGTAAATTCTCTTCATGCACATCTGTAAACAAATAAACAAGTTTACAACTCTTGGTACTGACTTTGTTTTCTATACTGATGTCACATATTACTTATGATACACTTACAGCCTCTTAGGTAAACTCGTTAACACAGGTAAACTTGTTAACGCAGGTAAACTCGTTAACACAGGTAAAAACACAAATATTGATTTATTTTGTTCTTTTTCAGGATTTGAAACAAAAATTAAGTATTTAAGTTTTTAAAAAGTTATTTATCACATTATCTGAACATTGAACCACAGCTACTATAAGAATGACATCACAGGGAAGATAACACAGATTGATCTGAAGAGGGAAAGATTGTAAAAGGACGGAAAGATCGTAAATTCAAGTTCTGCAAGTTGTGCAAATATGCAAGTTGTGATAACATATTTACAATACACTGCTATTTACAATTGCATAATAAATTAAATCAGTACTTTATTAAATCAATTAATAAATAAATAATCATTACAGTTACTAAAATTTAAATTAAGATGTAAAAAACAAGAAAACAAACATGAATATGTAAATAAATTTTATTCAAATTGAGCGAAATATAAGGACATACGACAAACCGGCAAACTACAATTCGGATTGCGATCAGAAAAATAAATTTAAAAAAAAAAGAAACAGATACGTCATGCCACTCACCTTTGTTGTTGTTGTGATCGCTCGTTCACGTGTCAGTGGCTGGATTCTCATTCGTCGCACTGATAATCTGTTCAAACACAGAATCATTGTAAAACAGTTGGAAAAAATCAATAGCACGACTCTTCACTCACCGTGTCAATATATATTCTTGAGTCCGGTCGCCTCTTCAAAATCCCTCATGTCTCCACTATTGTGGTCCCCCTGCCACTCCCATTCTTGAAAGTTGGCGGGGGGGACACCTCGTCGAAACCGTCAAAATCTTCACGAAAATATCCGCGAAATTCCCTCTCCCCTTCGCGTAAATTATTCAATTCAAACACATTATTATTCCCGATAGAGTCGTTGTTAATCATCTGATCGCTATCCGAATCGTAGTTGGCCGCCATTACGCTTGATTTACGATTCAAGCGAGAAAAATACCTGTCGCGAAAACAGGTGAAATATGTCGTGACATACCCGCGATTTTCGCGCCAAAAAGACGGGGAAATTCCATAGAATGACGTGTCATTACGTGTAAATCTCGTTTCCATATTTAGAACGAGATTACACACGAGAAAGGAAGTAGAAAGAGAGATTTTGTAAACACGCTTGCGCCGCCCGATTTATCGGGCAGCCGGGTTCTGGGCCACGGCTTATGCTGCCCGATTTTTCGGGCAGCCGGGTCCTGGGACACGGTTTATCCTGCCCGATAAATCGGGCAGTCGGGGCGAAAGGGTTAAGGAGTAATGCAGGATAAGTAAAAAATTTAGTAAAATCTAAATATTTTTTACATTTGTATACTTATCCTGCATTACTACGTTTAAGGCCCACCCGTTGCAGACTTGCCTCCCCACTTTGGCTTCAGAAAGCTCAAAAGTATGTTTTTTAAGCTCGGGCGACAGGCAGTGATGTGAAGAGTTGACCTTTGGTCACGTGAGGTCACAGGGACAGCGACGGCGGGAGGTAAAAGTGGGATTACGAACAGAGCCATTCACCCAAGGACCATCGCCGGTTAGCTGTCCCAGTTTTTTTTGTTGCAAGGTAAGCAGTGAATGCATTAAGGAGTAATGCAGGATAAGTATACAAATGTAAAAAATATTTAGATTTTACTAAGTATTGGACAATCCGACATAATCTCATGATTTGATTGATCTAAATTTAATCATGATCATGTTTTCCTCAGAGACCCAAACAGGCTGATAAGAGGAAGCCTCGACAAATAGCTGATCCAAAGGCCAAATGGAATACCATGAAGTATGGTGAAGAGTTTAAGGAGGAACATGTAGCAGAAGCTGTCAAACGGGTATCGGAGCACCCAGAGGGACGACGCTTGGTGCATCAGAACAGCACTGGGTCCAGCCACTCGCCGCACAACCGCCCTGGCACACTACCGGTGGACCATGCCAGCCCCGGACACCATGGCCAGCCACATCATGGCCACCCTCAAAACCAAGATCCCAGGATACACAATCATGCTTCCAATGTTGCTAATGGACCATACCAGGCTGATCAGCAGCGCAATGAAGATCTGGCACAAACCCATGTACGTGGCTCCGGGATGCCACAGAACCAACAGTTCCAGTACCAGCAGTATCAGATGTCACCTGGTCGGTCCTCCGCTGCTATGCTTGGAAGTCCACACTCTCGCCCATCACAGCCTCCCCCAGCCCCACCCCCGCCAATGGACCAGCAAAGCCCATCGGACAGAAACAATCTGCCTCCACCCCCACCACCTCCCCTTGATCCAGCAGCCAGCCAAACTGCTACTCCGCCAATGCAGCGTCAGCCAATTATGTACAATCACCTGGATGGCTCTCCAGGGAGAGGCCGTGGCTCACAGCGTAACTCTCCAGCAAGGCAACCTTCACTGTCATCATCTGCCACATCGAGTCCACACAGAGCAACACCAGAAGGGGTAGAACCACCACCTCCACCGCTCTCCCCTCCCATTAGTCAAACACCAGATACCCCCCCTAGCCATGATTCAATGCCGCCTCCACCTTCTCCCCCACCCCCACTGAACTTCTCTCAGACCCCATCACCGCCACCCCCTCCTCCCCCACCCCCATTAATGACCAATTCTCAGGGCCCACCCCCACCTCCTCCTCTGCCCCCAGCAGTGATGAATGGATCACTGAGGAGAGATCAGCTTGATGTGGCCTCTGTATCTTCTACTGGAAGCACAGTGACTAATGTATCAAACTCGGAGCCTCAGAAGCCCACAGTGGGACAAGAACGCAGTGATTTGCTGGCAGAAATAAGACTAGGAGATTGTAAGTTGACATTTTATTATTGCCTATTTATATACTGTACATGTCGGTATGCAGAAATCCTGATTCTTTCAGTCAGTATTTAAACTACAATACAAATTTAGATAAATAGTATCGATAATTTTTGTATGAAATGACGCATGGTACTTACTAGAAATATACTTGAATAGCATGGCTAAGTAAATTTAGATATAGCAGATTTGTATGGTTTTGATGTGAAAGTGGTTGTGTTTGTACAAAAGGGTACAAGAAGTTGCGGCGTGTGGAGGAGCGCAGGGAGAAGCAGAAGAAGGTGGTACCAGCCGGCAGATTCGATGTTCAGGCTCTCATGGACAGGGCTGTGGAAATGCGGCGCAAAGTGATAGAAGACAGTGATAGCGGTGATGGTGATAGCGGTTCCGATGATGATGACTGGGACACAGATTGAGGACAAGCATAGTCCTAGACAACATGAACTTGGCTGGCTATTGTAAGCTTGTTCTTATATAGCCTTTTTCTACACAGGGGAAAATGTGTCCAGATTTAAAGGCTAATGCACAGATATGTTCATGTGGAAGACATGTAAAGCATGATTTATTAATTTACCTAGGATAGCATGTTGATGATGTATTCACAATTTATCTCATCTTTAGTTGCTTGCGGATAAGAGGAAGTAGGAAAGGGGTTTTAAAATAATAATTAGAGATTTGTATTTCAAATGAATTAGATTAATGCAACGTGTACTTATTGGCCTGTTGCCATGAAATGCCTGGTAACCATGGTAACAGAGAGCTCTATTCCTCCTGTAATGAAGAAAGAGAGCTAATGAGGATGTTCAGCAAATCCCTCACCCATGTAGGACAGTTGGCATGCCAGTTCAGTTGCAGCGAGATGCAAGAAATCTTCAGAATCTTCCACTTTTTTTCACTGTCAGGGAACGAAAGTAATCACTGCAAGTTACTCAGAATAATCATGTCACATGCCGGATATATGATCAGACACTTATTTGATGCAAGGGAAAGATCTGCTTAAATGTAGATGTTACATTTTCTGCTTGTATGCAGTTACTTTTCTAATGTATCTAAACTACAGCTGTGAGCCTACAGCGCTGACTCTATACACCGTGTAAACAGGCCTGTCAGCCCTGTGCAGGAGTGTTTGGTAAATCTATTGTACAGTGTATTGTTCATGTATCATATGTTCCATGTCTACAGGTGTGGCGTACTTAGTGTTGCATGTATCATAGTGCTCACAGCCGACGGAGGCTGACCCACGGGTGGGATGACATGTACATACATACATCAGTAGTGACAGCATAGTTCAGACATGTCCTGCTACTAGGGGACAACCACAGCATGCACTCCTCATAATATTCTGTACAAACCAGTATGTAAGATAACTGTTAATATTACCTGTCTGTCATCGTTGTGTCACAATGTCTTTCTGCTCTGTTTTGTGTTATATTTATGAGCTCTGTAAGTGCTATGACTTATCATTGGACAGACTCTAATCTGTTTTCAACAGGTCAGGTTTCCACTTGTTTTTTAAGCGACTGATAGAACAAAACACCTTTGCAGTGCCAGTAATCAGTGGTGAAAATATATGAAATGAATTTCTCCTTTGACACTGAAATACTTGATGACAGAGTTAAATGTATTTGGTCAATTTAAAAGAAGAGTCACTTTGTCAATGCCTAATCCCTCCTCAGAGAATATAGCTGCTGCCTCAGTCACAGTGGTGTTGTCAAAGTGCAAGCACTGACAGAACAGGTTTGTGTGAGCCAGTATGTCTCTGCTAAATTTTGTCTTTCTCAGTGTCCAAGTGTTACTTGGTAATTCACAACTATGATATGTGAAAACTGACCTTGTTGATATTTCTTGTGATACTTTCTTTGTTCACTTTCTTGCTGTACATTTGTCATGGTAGTCAAGATGATATTTTACTGAGATTGCTGGTGACAGCTGCTTGCTGGGAGAGTTGTGTGTGAATGTTCTGTTGTCAACTTACTAAGATTCTTTATCAGTATTGATAGCCTGCTGTTTGCATCTGTGCTGGGAGATGAAAAATCTGATATTAGTGAAAGGAAATGTATGCTGAAAATACCAGTGAACATAATGAACATGGCAAGGAGCAAACTACCACCGCCTCCATTACGAAATCAAAATACATGGACAGAAGCAGGCATTCATGTGATGTTGTTATTGATGAAGAGTTACCCCCCTTTATGATCAAACCCAGCTTTGTACCTTTAAAATGTGGTTGACTATGGATAACTTTTGACAGACAGGTATGAAATGATATATCATAATGGTATAATAATTCTACGACGGTGTTAGGTTCCTAAAGGGGGGGGTAGCAAATGTATTAGTTTCTTTATTAGTAATGTTTGATTATTTTTTTCATTTAAAACCATCCTCTAGAGGGATCAATGTAACCATTTCTAGGACAGCAGTTTATGAATCTGTCTTGGCATTATGTACATTTGTATCATTCTCCCCCACTGTTAACGGTGTGCAATAATCAATGAATTCTTTCCCTGTATCATAAGTCATCAACCATTCATAGATTTCAGACAGATTTAGATTTTGTTTTGTTTCTTTTGTAAACTGTGAGATAGAAGCCTATGTATTTACTGTGTTTACATTGTCTAGCTGTACTAAGGTTATCGGTAAGTGCTAGTCATATTATGGAAGATAAGAGATGCTTCACAATATATGCTCATATTAACTCAGTCCTGTTTTGCCAGCATTTAGTTGGGACCATGTACTGATTCTGCTCCTTGAAGACACACTGTAGTCTATTGCTGCATTAGGATATCAGAATAGAGACCAGCATTTCTTCATCTTCGTTCAGCATTTCATAAATAAAGGGAACAACAGTAGAAGTCATTTATGTCAGCAGTTGCGCTACAGAGACACTGTTTGTTGCAGGGCATACAGGTACAGATGAATCTTACTTGGGATACTATTTAATATCGGCTTTGTTTTTCTTAAGGTATCTCCAATAAAATTTGCTATGCACTAAATGAAATAAATTCTTGTATTGTCATACTCGCTGTGAATAGTTTATTTTAATGTTGAGATGGGAAAAGTGCTTGAAGTTTGTTCAGTGTCAAGTACAAGCTATGCCATTCTGAAACCAATATATCAGAGCAGAAAAGACCAATGCTTTTTGGAGTTAGTTTTGCAAGCAGCAGAATCGGAGAATAATTCTGTCCCACCATAAGAAAATGTGCTTCTAAATGAAAACTCTTGTCATGAAAAGTGTCATGAATTTGACTCCCATTTTCAGTAAGAACCCTGAAGATATTTGACCTGAGTTGCCAGTTGGTATTGGCAGAATTATGTTTTCTTCTGCAATTACTTTTTCCAGTTTAACCATGTGTACTGGTACTGAAAGAGCTGTTCTCGATATTGACCTGACAGGTGCTGGAAGTAATACAATGTGAACAAACAAACACCTGCAGTTTGCCCAGCACCTGATAATGTTGCTGTAGTTGACGTGCTGCATGGGGAAACATAACAACACTCACATTTATGCATCTATCAACCCTTTCCCCCCGAACAGTGAGGTTGCATTTGCTTTCTTGGGTGAACATTTCAATGGTGATATATTTCCATAACAGTTTTTGCATGTCCAAACCAGAAAATGTTGCATTACAATTTGGTAGCTGCTCAGATCTGTTCCATGTGCACCTTAGCATTTTAGCATGTTTTTTATGTGAATTCTGTATCAAGACCTTTGCTAACATTTTGCCAATACTATTGCCAATAGGGTCGTTTTATATGATGCTGATAACAATTATGATATTTTTCATGCATGTGATTTTAGAGCAGTTTTAAGGTATCCCAACAGTATCCCAAGTAACAGTGTGATATAGAATACAGAAGATCATTATTTAATGATGTTGCCGTCAAGTTAGGATGTATTCCAAACATCTTAAGATCAACCAACATTTATTTTCTCTCTTATGTCCAAACAGAATGTGTTTCTCAAAATCTTTTACTTCTGCTGCATTTTTGGAAAAAAACACTTGTTATGATATAAATCATATTATTAAAGTTTACGCCTTTTTGTTTTCCTGTTATTTTATCCTTGGATTTTGTTCTCTTGTCCAATGTTTGTCTTCTAGTGGATAATGACAGCAGATTTACCCAGTGTATAATGTAGTTCCTGTGCCAACTTAGTTAAACTACCAGTTTTGTTTAGGCTGTGCATGAAGCACACACATATATCAGGGACATTATTGGTAACAGAATAAATCTCTTGTTGGCTTGCATAAGGACTGTTTCAAAGAAGTCCTCACGGGATTTACAGCCTGTGGATCTAACTATTGTTCGGGCCAAATGTTGTTGATAACATGTAGCTAGCTACAACAGCTACTGAATAAACCAGGGATATTTTTCTGATTGCATGAGATGACGCTTAGCTTCATTGTTATCAGAGGTGGGTCTTTGTAATGGGCACCTACAGTGTTTGCTGGGCCCAACATGAGGGACACTGACTTCTGAATCTATGCATTTTGAGAGAACAATGAAGATGGAGTGAATGACATTGATAAGTTGGTGGGCCAGAGGTGGCAAGACGACTGAGCTATTCCAAGGAGAGCTGATACATCTATTCCAGCAGTGTTGATGTTGAATGTTTTACATGGGTTGTACAACCATATTTGATATTGTGTGTGGCAGTTAGGTAATGTGCTTCTGTTGATTTGTTACGTTTTCAGTAGGAGTAGTCCAACGTTATACATACCCAAAGCCCTGGCTTACCATGCTTTCTGAACATGTCCAAACCTTGTTAAAAGAAGTAGTACAAAATAGGATTTGCCTAGCCCAGGAAAACTTGCTCAACATTAGAAAACATGCTTAGGACTAGGAGAAAGGAGGACGTAGGATTAGGGTCCTATTTGCCTGACTGAAAATGTATCATTTTGAAAGTTGCATAAAAAAATGAAATATTGGTATGAAATTTATCAGACATGTTCAAATGGCTGATATCTAGCATTGGTTTCCTCTTTTTCACACTTGCAAGTTTTTTGCTTCTGACATGATCAAAGACAAGTGTGGCTAAGATGAGTCAAAAAGGCTGGGTTTTTTTAAAAGCTTCAAATGAAAATCTATGAGCAAATCTGTGACCCAAATTGAATTGGAAGTCAAAGACTTGCTCATGTTCAAATATTTTATAAAATCGTTTACTGGAGACAAACCTCTAACATCAGCCTCTTGACACATTTATACTTACTTGTGCATTTGGTGTGGTGGTAAAACAGGCAGTTGTCAAAATGAACAAAGTCTAGTTCCCATTCATATCAACACATCTGATAACTATCAACCCTGAAATTATGCAGACCCTGTGGCCTAAAAGAGCCCTTATACCTTGTCCTTTTTTGAAAGTTTAATCTGAATCAAACATGTTGTTCAACACACTGTGTTTGCTGACTTCATGAAAGGTGATATTATTGCACCGACAGAAACACTATTTTCTAGAGAATTGGTAATTAAATCATTTGGATAGATATCCTTCGCTGAATCTGTCTGTTATAGGGAACGTCTCTGCACTTCGAGGCTCAGAGGGGCTTTGTGCAGGGAAAGATGCCCATCTACTAAAGTGTAACAGTATCTATAATAGAGCTCTACAAGAAAATATTTCCAGAGAGTTATGTACTGCTAATTAAGGGAATGTAAGAACACTGCTATAACTTCATCCTACAGTATTTGACCATGTGTGATCTCTACCTAGTCTGTCTTTTAGTCATGACAAAAGCAGTACAGGTAGATTAGGAACCAACTACATCATCAAGATAATTGGCTTACCAGTTACCAGTAACAAAACATTATTTTTCCTCGAAAAACTGAAACTTTTCTTTTTTCTTTAGTCGATTTACCATGTTTCAGAGAGCTGCTTTGGTCCTCAACTGAAGTATGTCTGTTGAATCTGAATCCATTTAGAACTGCTTAAAGAAAATATCATGTGTAGACCTGTGTACCAGTACCATTCTAGTTGCATGCATTGATATAATAAGTTACACAATATATACAGAAATGATGTACAATTTATTCCTTAATATATATGTAGATGTGTCTAAGCTTTAAAAATCCATTCTTACTACATTTTGGTGAAAACAGACAAATGATAAAATGATGACGCATTCCAGTATTACTGCACCAAGAAGGACATTAATAATACTGTATTTTCCCTATTGGACGCCCGGGCGTCAATTAATTTCACGCAAGCTGATCTCCGGCATATGTTAGAGGCCTGCGTGTATTTGAGACCCAGTGTCTATTCTGTTCAATGCTGGCATAGTGGCAACTCACTACGTTACCAAAACCAAGATTGTAATGTTATACCAAGGGTACATTTGCAGGATACAGTCATTGTTTATCCCCAAGATGTCACAGTATTATTTGTTGGACAGAGCGTATGACCAGGTGTCAATTGGAGACAAACGTGTATTAGAGGTCCGGACTCTGATAGTGGAAATATGGTATCCCTTTTGTTTGTAAGAATAAAATACTTACAGATAAGTTAGGAAATGCTGATAGATAACGTGAATGTTAAGTCCATGTTTGTATAGCATTGGAAAACTTTCTATTTCATGCAGCATTCCAAAAATCAATTTGCCATCTTGACAATTATGCATGTGAAAAGATAGGTTATATTTTTAAGGTAGATCAATATTTCATTTAAGAATATTTTTACTGACTTTCTCAAATAGCAGAGTCCTGATGATCCTTTGTGTGGACAAAATTTATTGTTAGCCGATGTGCTCGGAACCATGGGAACATCTAGACTAGTCTTCCAAAATTGGACTTACACACTGTATGCCTATCTTTTGTGCATGTCATATTATTTAAAATTTGTTTCAAAATTGTACATTGTATATCCTGAGATCCCTTAGTGGACAATACTGTATTCTAGACATGTTATTATTATGGACCATTAATTATGCTGACTTCAAACCAGTTACAGAGAATTAAAACTGTGAATGTAATCTTGTGGCTGTAGCATGAAATCTGCTCAAATTGTAAATTGACCTTTACCTCCTATTCCTGCTTCTGCTAGCTGTGTACATAGCCTGCTGTAAACCTAGCTGACCCCGCTTGACCCCTGACCTGACCTGACCTGACCTGACCTACATAACACCAGCACTATTGAAACTATGTCCATTTTTGCATGATTTGTCTTCAAAATGTCAGTTTATCTCTTACTTCAGACAGCTGTAGCATTTATCAGCAATAAAATGGACTGCTTTTTTTTATTCTGAAAATCTGTTGTTTCTTTTTTTATGTACAGAACTTGTAATTCATCCTTGTGCAACAGTTTACAATGATGAAATAGTTGAAAATATTGTTGGACATATACTTTTAGTCAAGTTATGAAATGTGGCAATGTATAACTCATGAGAGTCTATTGAGCATGAATTTTGTTCAAACGCTACTGTTGCCTGATATTGAAACAATGTTTTCAGTGGTTGGCCGCAAAGATGTGGCATGTATTGCACGAGGAATATTCCACGTTGTACGATAAAATCTGAGTTCTCATTGGTCAGAGCAGTCATTTGTTTCCGTCTCACTAGAACTAGGCAGTAATTTCATTTATTGTTTGAATGTCGCAACCAAACCACAAACATCTATCTAAACAACAATTTATGTCGTGTCATCTTCGAAAATGCTGGACTAATGAAGCTGATGTTGTCAAGGAACCTGACTGGACAGCAGCCATATTAAAAAAACAAAAACATGGTGTAGCTGGTGCTTTCAGAAAGAAGAGCAGAAGGATGGTGGTTCAATCCTGTGGCTGCGTCACACCAAAACATGTTATAAGATGGTACATGTTGTTCCCTACCTGGCACTTGGCATTACAGGGATAAAACACGGACTGGTCAGCTGTGGCATGGTAACTCATTGGGCTTGGCAGCCACATACACACACACACACACACACACACACACACACACGTGCATACACGTCACATCGCTCCACGAAATAAATAATCTTAAGTGCAACGTTAAACCCCATTTTATCTCTCAACTCTCAGGAAGAGAAGTAGGTGTGAACTTGAGGCCAACAGAACGTGACCACTCTGACATCATGCTTACAATGACATCACTAGTATTCACAAGATTCACAAGAGTCAGAAAATCTAATTCCACTACTGGTAAGCCAGGATAAGTTGAATGGTGACCTGACAATTAACCCCGTATGATTAAGTATGTGTTCAACCCAATGGAACGTACCATTGTGAAAAAAGGGGTGGCTGGCAACAAGTATAACAATGGCCATGTGCATGTCCTGTCTCAGCTAACAGCGAGTTCTAAGTTCAATAGCAACAAATAGTATGTGCTAATGTGAAGTACCCAATGACAGTGAATACATACAAATTGTGTACAAATTGGTGAACAGCACACTGGTCCGAATTGTCAAGTTGGGATTTGATCACTAGATGATTTCCCAACTTACTTGAGCTGTTGAAACTATACTCAACAACAAAAGTACCTGTGACACCAATATTTTAGTGTATTTTTCAAACAAGTAAAGTTTGGTTTTCAATAATATAGTACATGTATGGAATCAAGTCACAAAAACGCAACTAATACAGAAAAGCAAGCATTCCATGCAAAAGTTGACTATTAAGCAAGCCCCATGCATTTCAAAACCCAAGAATGGGTATAAAAACGTGCATTAAAGGGATTCCATATGCATGGAAAAACAACAAAATTACGCAATTATTCAACATTGCGAAATGCCACGCCTGTCCGAAAATGAGCGTCTGCAGGCCATTGGTATCCTTGAAGCAGGATCGAGTCAACGTGATGTTGCAAGACAATTTAACGTCCACAGAAACACCATTTGGTGTTTATGGCAACGTTGGCAACACGAATGCAGTCAGAGACCATCCTTGGAGTGGCAGGCCACGCGTAACCAATAATTGACAAGACAACGTGATTTGAACAACAACACACCTAGGAAATCGATTCCAGCCTGCCAGTGACTGGAAGAAGCATCCCTGGCCTTCGACGAATATCTTCACAAACCTTACGTCATCGCCTCAGATGTGCAGGGATTGTCGCCAGATGGCCCATCGCGACAGGAAAGCACCATCAAGCACGTCTACAGTGGTGCAGACAGCGTCTACGGTGGACGGCCATGCAGTGGGGACAAGTTCTATTCACTGACAAGTCTCGTTTTCACCTCCGCCACAGCGATGGACGGATTCGAGTTTATCGACGTCGAGGTGAAAGTTCAACAAATCATTGTGTCATGGAAGAAGATCGGTTCGGGGGCGGCAGTGTTATGGTATGGGGTCGGAATACAGCAAGACGGAGGACCCGTTTGAGAGTGGTAGAGGGAAATCTCAATGGACAGCACTACCGCGACAAGATCATCGGCCCTGTTCTACCGTTTTTGGGTCGTCATGGCCCAGGCATTACCTTTCAACATGACACTGCCCGGCCTCATATTGCTCGAATTGTTCAGGATTATCTTTAACAAAACAACGTGAATGTCATCCCCTGGCTGGCTCGCTCCCCTGATCTCTCACCAATCAGGCACACGTGGGATGAGATGGATCGGCGCCTTCGATGTCAACCACGTGTTCCACAGACACTCCAGGAACTTCGAAACATGCTCCAGCAGATATGGACAGATATCCCACAGGACTTTGTGCAACGCCTGGTCCATTCCATGAGACGAAGATCTGTTGCTTGCATCGCAACCAGAGGTGGACACACACACTATTGATTTTGTAATTTACATTTTGGCATGTTCATGTTTTTTATGAAATCACACATTTTCTGAAGTCAGTATGGCAAATTAAACCCTTTGAACACTTACAGAAGTCTTTTATCTGTTGCAAACCGAAATTATTTCAGATTTGGTAAAAAACATAACTTTGCATTACCGTAAATCTTATTCAATGTCACAGGAACTTTTGTTGTTCAGTATATATTAACTGGGTTGCATCTGGAATTCATCATGTCATAACACTTATCAGCTAGAGCAAGGGTTTTCCTCTAGATTCCCAAGCCCCTGACCGATCATAAACATCACCAAATTATGGATCACGCTTCATTGAAAAGAAGTTTCAGGTGAACAGGAAAATATCCATTCTCATCCCTACACAGAGATGACTCTACAACAAGCAAGCTTCATTCACAGCTCATTAGACCACATGCTAAGTATGCAAGAAGATCTTCAAGCAGCACGGGTTTTGATATTAGCACAGTTCCTACTCATGCAAAGAAACCATCTGCTGGAACAAGTGCATCATTTGTTTCTGGAACCCTTAAGAAGATCAATGTTGTCACAGCCTATTACAGCTCCACTGATTTTAACAGTAGACTCAAATCAGTGAAAGAATCAATAGCATCAACGACCACTCAGAAGTTTCAAGAATCTATCATTTCTTTGGCATCTAAGCTCCAGAAGCATCCTGAAGACTTCCAGAATCCATGACAGACTCCTATGAGGCAACATGTGACTTCTTTTCAAGCTCCTACAAGGAAGGACAGATCTTTTCGTCCCCAGACAAAAGCCTTTATAGAAGAACAGCTGTTTTCACAAGGTTAAGGTGGAGGCAGAGGAGGTTTCAGAGGTGGACCCCATCGAAAGTGACTTAGCTAAAGTTCTACAGACTTCTACAAATCCTGTCGACTTTACCTGCCCTATGGACATTGATTCAAGCCTATAGATTATCAACTCAACACTCACAACAAATCCTGTCTACCTGGCCTGCCATATAGACATCCATTCAAGACTACCAAAGTTCAGCACTATAACTCAGGGCCCAGTCGGGGGATGTCTTATGCTGTACGCAGACAACTGGGAAGCTATCACAGACAACCTCTGGCTGCTTGAAGTGGTAAGAAGAGGATACAAACTCCACTTTCAACAACAGCCATGCCTGGTCATTCATCCTACTGGATGCCGATTCCATCTGACAGGGGAAAAGTTACTTCAGCAAATGTGGCCATAAGCAAGTTACTAGTCAAGAGAGCCATCAGTACATCGGAAGAATCAGATACTACCCCCAGATTCTGCTCACCAGCCTTCCTGGTTTTTGAAGAATAATTCTTCGGAAATGTGCATGATCATCAATTGAAAAGTGCTAAACAATGAATATCTTGTGCAACCTCCCACTTTCCAGATGGAATTCAGCAAGAAATTTAAAGAATGCCTTAAGACATGCAGATGGGATAATTTTCACGTCCCCATCCAAATCATCGCCACTATCTACAATTCACACTCAACGGTCAGATATAACACTTCCATGTTCTACCGTTTGGCATCTCCATCACTCCATGGCTATTCAACAGGATCACCAACCCCCTCATCGAGTTTGCTCATCTAAAGCTAATAAGTCTACATGGATACATAGACAACTTTCTGTCGGCCAATCAGGACAAGTCGCTTACATCCCAAACTATTCAAGTGGATAATTTCAATATGAGATACTCCCCATCTAGATCTATTCATCACCTGCCTCAACAACAAAGTGTCATTGTACATCAGTCCAGTGCCAGACCTGCTAGCCCACCAGGTTGACGCGCTATCCATGGAACTGGTAGGGAATGTTTGCATACGCATTCCCCCCTTGGTCTCTCCTAGACAGTGTACTGAGGTAAATAGAAGAACGGAATGCAGGATCATACACATAGCCTTTGCAATGGTTTCTGAGGTTACTACCCCTCCTAATGGAAGAACCTAATGAAAAATCCAACATATTTTACGGCCGCCTCGACAACCTTCACCTTCATGCCTGGAAATAATTTCTAAGCTGCAAGTCGCCGGCTACTCTAAATCTGCTGTACAAAGAGTGGCAAGCTCATGGAGACCAGCATCAACTGCCCTATACAACAACAGATGGGACAAGTTTGTCAAGTGGAGAAGGGGAAGAGACTTGTACACCTCAGTCAGGGAAATCCCTCCTCCCGAGGTTTTACATTCTCTACCAAAACCTCGGAGTCGTGTTTTCTCCATTACATAACCAAGGGTACTGTGGCGGGATGGCTTAAAATGACAATCACAGACAGCTATAGACAGGCACAAATCTACATAAGGCTACTATATATCTACATATATATGTAAAGTTTGTGACGTCATAAATGTCTAATCTAGAGATTCTAGCATTATTATTAGGCAGATCATTCCGTTTGTCCCTTTTGCATACATGTATATATGTATTCCTACTTCACCAAAGCCAACTATCTCAGGGATACTAGATACCAGATTGGTCCGGTCCCTCTGGTGTATACTGGCTATGATGTAACAGAGGAAAGGTATGAAAAGCAATAATCAAACACTGGTTATTATTGTGTACAGTTCTTAGAATACTACCTCTATTACATCAGGAATTAGTCTCTCCCACCTTACCCAAATATCTGCATATAGTTGATGAGCGTTATGGGTTGAGAGAAGTGATATTTTCCCACAATGTGCATGCGCAGTTGCACTTCCTGTGAAGGATAGGGTTTCCCTCGCAACTATTAGGTATGTTGCAGTGAAGAGGATGTGTTGAAAAATTATAAAAATGTATAATGTGGTTCTCAGTATAAACAGGAATTTATGGCTATGATGTAATAGAGGTAGTATTCTTAGAATTATACACAATGATAGCTATTGTTTGATATTAATCAGCATTACTACAAAAGCCCTTAGAAAATCTTAATAGCCACAGGGCAAAGATTCTTTCCAATTGCATGTCACATTTTCCCTCAAAACTTTTGTTTTAGCTCACCTGAATGTGTTAGCATATATGTTGTCAGTCAATAACTTTCACAATTTCAACATCTCTAAAACTACTGCGCCAATGAATGTGAAACTTTCAATGAAAAATATTATCTATGGTGTCTAAAGAAATGCTCTGCCCCAATATTAAACATGGCAGCCAAATTGAAAATGACATTTTTGCCAATTGGCCATTTCTGCATATACCCTTATGAAATCTGGTAGGCACTAAGTCTGTAGTATGTGTAATACATTTTTGCACTTTGTCTTTTTTTACCAAGCTTTTGACCCTACCCCAATTTTTCTAATGGTTACTGCTTTTCCACATCCCTGAAACCTTGTTTCATGAAGTAGTTTAGTGAAAATGATCCCAGGAATAATGTCTTGAAAAGATGCTCACAGAAAGCAGATGAAATTTTAACTATGTCCACCAGGGCAGCCATATTGGAATTTGGAAATGTTTTTTAGATCAACAGACTGAATGTCAAGAGAGCTTAGATAGTAGCATGTTACCTATCTGCCCTGTTTTTTTGGTCATTTTTGACATCTCTGAAACCAGGTATAATCTGATTTTGGAACAGGTTAAGACCTAAAACCTTCATATATCCCCATTTTCCTAATGGTACTTCATTTTCTACATCTCTGAAACTACAAGACCAATTGCACTGACACCTTGAATGACCAATGCCAGCTATGGGGTTTCTTAAAAAATATCACAATATTCAGATCATAAGCATGACAAAGATATTGTCTTCATGGTCAGGTGACCCACAGAGCCTTGTGGCTCTATTTGTACCTATTACTTAGCCATTTTTACATGTTTCATTCTTAAATTTGACAAACAGGAAATGGTTGTATTGCTGAACAACACCTTACATTTTGCTGTCATATGTAAGTAATATTAGTGGGCAGTAGAGATTGTAAGCTTATTAGTAAGAGTGTCCGTAGCAACAAATGATTGAAGATCTTGTTAAATGTCTGTATCTGGCCACAGATTTGAAAGGAAGTGTGCTTGGAATAAATCCTCGGTTGTTGACAAACATGACAAGCTTGATCGTTAAGATCAGTTTCTAGAAGCCTCGCTGTACCAATAATAAGAGTGAAACAATGGTGTTAAGGCCTAAAAAGGCCTTTTTAAAAATTATGTCCTGAATAGTGTCTTATCCACATGCCAATTGGGATGTCTCTCTGAAAACACCAATTTTTACTAGTTTTCAATATTATTCCAGATACAAGTGGAGAGACAGGCTGCTTATTTAAGCCACTGTATTACTGTATTGCCTTTAGCGATGGTAAACCTAAAACTGTGTGTTTCCACATGTTTTGATTGATCATTGATCTTGTGAGTTCATTTAATGATTACACATTTTAGTTCTGTACATACTGATCTCTGGGTTAATCATTGCATTTCAATCTGGAAATCACCTCGTAACCCTGTGTACTGGGATAACTGTTTACTGCTGTGCTGTGCCATGGTTGTCATGATGAACATGTAATTTTGACCCAGACTCCATAGCTAGTTATGCATGTATCATTACATAGTTAAACGAACAAGCTGTGAGGATGTATGTTTAGTAAAGACTTCTCTTTTATGTAGTTTGCTTACGGTATTGTTTTGCGTTGTGATATTCCCATTTATGTATGTGAGCTACAGAGCATTGAGACTATTTTTTATGCTTATGATGCTGAATGTTTGCATGGGTTATATTAAAACTTGCTAAGAGTATTCTGATCTGACTTTTAACATGGCTGCCATGACAGTGACACTGAAAAAATAATTTTTACTTTGACATTTCTACACATATTTCCTACTGATATTGTCGGTAGTATGTGACATAACATACGGTATGTAACATTTTACCCAAGTAGGACATTTCTCCTTCACATTAATTCATACACCTTGTGGAGGGGACTAGATGGCCCAATGGTCTAAGGCACAACAATTCCTTTTGACAAGTTGCATCATGATTAGTTGGGCATGCGTTTGAATCTCACACTCTCCAGTATCAGGATCCTTGGTCGGTCAGCACCATACTCGTGCTGGCAGGTTTCTTAAATATGAACCCATTTTCTGCAACACATTGTGCTGGCATCAATACCAAACTTCTGGAAATATTTTTTAAGTTGAGTTAAACTAAACTTATTCATTCACTCACAAATCTAGTAATACTGCATTTTGGATATCTTAGAAACCACAGATGAAAGTTTCTGTGCGTGTACCACAGCAAAGATGTCATTTAGAACTTCTCACTGAATAATGATTTTATTTTAAGCTTGGCTGCCATTGTATGACTTAAATACTGTTCAAGGCAGTGTTACACCCTTCACTCACACAAAGGTCTTTAATCAATGAGAAGGTTAATGAGCACATTTCAATCAAAGAAATCCAACTTAAGCCTGTCTTGACCAATTAAAATTCAGATTTCAACAACAAACACAAGCTTCAAGATACAGATCCTGAAAAACTGGATTTAATGAGCTATTTTACACAAAGTTTATATGTTATTATTGATAGAAGATTGGATATATTATACATACATTGGGTATAATACACATATATACATGGTCACAAAGTATGCATCATATGACAGGGGACATATGGCTGATATGCAGATCCACTTTGGCAGTTGCACATAACATGTTCAAGGATATACACATGCAGTACTGCACACAGCTGCTATGTTCATATGTTAACATACATAATTGCACAGGAAGTTGCAATAAATATCATTTTATTGAAAGGTCCAAACTCATGAATGGTGGTCTTATCAATCAAGACTTCCATTCTTGAATCATTCTCATTAATAATTTGTTTCTGTGAGCATTTAGGTCACTGCCATATAATATGTGATAAATATTCAAAACAAGGATCAGGCATTCCCTACTATTACTTAATCTTCTTCGGACATGGGAGACTAACATACCAGTTAAGCCATCAAATTCCTTTCTATATCTTGTAAATAGAAACTGTGCATCAAAAGCTGTTCATATTGTGGCCCAGTGATGCTTCTCCCATTCTCTAGCAAGTGTGGTGTGGATTGTCACTCACATTTGTTGCCCATGGCACTTCACATTTTAATATAAACAAGATGACAAAGTCATCAAAATCCCCAGGAATGGTAAAATACATATTGTGAATATGTATATCTTGTTGCCATGGAAACTCAAAAAAATATTTTTCAAAAGTGCCAAACCATCAAAAGGCACCAGTTTACCACTAGACCTATCTATGTGCCAAGTTTGGTGAAGAAATATTGTATGGTTTTCAAGATCTGCTCAGGGAACGACACACATGGACTGAAGGTGTCTGTTTCAATACCCCATGCAAAACATGTTGCGGGGGATATTTAATTATCATAGTATTAAATGTAAATGAATATACAAGGTTCTTATAAATGACCTTTTCAGAATAAGTTCCTTTGTATCAGCATTGTTTATCTATATTTTGCAAATACATAAACATTGGCCCAGTTGTCAAAGGTGATGCAATTCTCCATGCATACCTTAGACTTTTGAGAAACCTATGATTTTGTTTATATTGCTGTTAAACTCAACTCACCCAATCACTTAATATACATGTACAGATATTTGGTCAAATGGCCTTTAAGAACTTTCAAGTCAACTGCACTTGTGAATATTGCATCATGGTATCATGCTCTGTGACCAATCTGTTGACCGGTTCCGCTGTAGCACAACTGTTTCTAGAGAACGGTTAACGCATGTCCTTGCACGTTGATACAGTATACAGCTCAAGCACATCCTTGTACATTGGATACAGTATACAGCTTAAGCACGTCTTTGTACGTCGGATACAGCATACATCTCAAGCACGTCTTTGTACGTCAGATACAGCTCAAGCACGTCTTTGTACATCAAATACAGTATACAGCTCAAGCACATCCTTGTATGTTGGATACAGCATACAGCTCAAGCACGTCTATGTACATCGGATACAGTATACAGCTCAAGCACATCCTTGTATGTCGGATACAGCATACAGCTCAAGCACGTCTTTGTACATCGGATACAATATACAGCTCAAGCACATCCTTGTATGTCGGATACAGTATACAGCTCAAGCACGTCTTTGTACGTCAGATACAGTATACAGCTCCAAGCACATCCTTGTACGTCAGATACAGCATACAGCACATCCTTGTATGTGGGGGACAAGCCAGAGCACAATCTTTAAGCAGGGGTCCATGCTTAAGCACATCCTTGTAAGTAGCATCCAGTGTAGTAGGTTTCACTTCTCCCGAGTGTCATCAAGTGGATTGTGGACCACAGACTCATGTATCATGATAAACAGTGGTACATATGTCAGGAAGTCCAGAAGGTCAAGGGCCACCAGGTGACCAAGCTTTTCCCTGACCTCACATTCATGTTCATAGCTCACCCCACCGGCTCGAAGTTCAATCATCAACTGGTCCAGCGAGATCTTGTTGGTATCTCGATCCACATTGCATTCCCAAAGTGTCTGAAAACAAGGAAATATCAAGGCGTTAGAAACCCTTTGTGATGTGAAACAGAAAAAGGATACAAGTGTGTATACACGTTACAGTAAGTGGCTTTTTGGCACCATGACTGTAGCCAGCCAAGTCCACAGAGGAGGCTGCTCCTCACTCAGTCTAATGTCATCCCTAGCATATAGTTGTTGGACATTACGCCTTTGGATTACAGTTTCACTGAGACACAGAAGTTGCACTGCACCTTGTATCTGACTTACCTTGCACTTGAACATCTTCATCTCCAGCATCTTGAAGTCAACCGCACCAATAAGGTTCTTCATCCAGTTACTGCAATTAAATCATGGCAAACAGCTTATAGAAATGATCAATGCTTGAAAAGTCAAAATATTATTGGCTGTGTTCAATGTGTTCATTCCGTTTTTTTCTTTAAAAATCATATTTACTTTACTGTCACAGTTTTACAAAGGTAAAGAATAAAAAAATGATTGATGACTTGCCTGACAGACAACACTTGTCGACAACAAATAAACATGTGTGAAATGTGAAATGGAAGCAAGTCTTCCACATCACATACATGATAAGTGATGGCAGTACTTACTCCAGGGAAGCTATACGCTGGGACAGTGCTGCTAACAGAGAGAACAGTTTGAAGTCGGCTCCATTGGTGATGCTGTAACCAGTCAACTCGAGGATCTACAACAGGAAACTCTCAATGAAGTCACTTCACAACAAGTTGGTTGTGATACAAAGTAAACATGCTGACAGATACAGAGTTTTTTTATCTAGTAGCAGCAAAGGCATGTGTCGAAGGCCTTGATGATATTCAAAGAATAATACTAACAATTATCAATAACAAATGTACAAACAAGTCGAGATACATTATTATGATTATGTGTATACCTGACAGTTTTAAAAAATCAAGTCTGGACAAAACAATCCAGTGATTGATGTTATGAACCATGATCCACACCATATATGGGCTACAATAACATGCTACCAAACATGTCACAGAACCTAACCAGTCCTTTTTTAATATTTTAATTTGTTCTTGTGTAATGACCAAAATTTCCTCCAAACTATACAAGTAACAGAGAAACAAAACAGGTGAGGCCTAACTTGGGGCCCAGTATTACCCTGTACAAATATTCCTCTTCTGTCTCCGTCAGCCTGTTGTTGGTGCCTCTCAGTGCAATCATGGCTTCAGTCCCAGTCAACCAGCCACGCTGCTCATCATCAACCTGACATACAGAGTGAGTCAATGTTGTTTTACGACCCAGTCAGTAATATTCCAGCAGCCCATAAATTATCGAGTCTTGACCAGGCGTCCATCTCCCGGACGCGTCATACCAAAAGACGTTTAAAGATGGTACCTGCTGTTACCCTGCCTGGTGCTCGGCATAAAGGGGCTAAAACAAGAGCTGGTCGGCTCAGAGTTAGTATACTGTAACTGTGTTGGGTATTCATGTTAAACTGCAACATGGTATGTCACTGGGCTAGCACTTCAAAATCAGCAGACTAGTACAAAACTGAATGCAAACCTGATCCATTTTAGTCCATTTAGTCAATTCTTTTAAAAAGCATAGGTTACTTGGGACCAATTCTACCCTGGAATCATCACAGATCTGACATACAGAGCTTGTGTGTTGCCTTCTTATATGACAGCTGCCTATTAATAATCAAGTCTGATGATTGATATTGTGAACAACGATCTACACTGTTGGGATAGACTGAGTCTGACCACCCAATATGTTTAGTCTCCTCTTTTCTCCAGCATGGGTAATACATGTATATAAACATACTGTCCAATTTAAATGTTCTACTGAATTTATATTTTGCTCAAAATATTCAGGAAAGACATGCAACATCATCAAAAGGCACACCATTTTCATCAAGTGGACCTGGGATTTGTGTTCATGAAAAAAAGAGTAGTATCACTCTTTCAATAATATACTACTCAAAAGAAGTTAAGGATCACCTGATTCTTTCATATTACTATAGTTAATCTCTCATGTCATGACAGATTAACTTTACCATTATGAAAGAATCGGGTGATCTTTAACTTCTTTTGAGTAGTATATATTGTTTTATTCGAACAGAGAATGTATTTTTTGTTTCTGTGTTTTCCTGGGTTGTTTACATAATGACAAGGGTGTATTACTGGTAAATGTTCACATACTGCCTGAAATGCATGCCTGTACATCTCCAGGTTGGCACGACTCAAAATGCAGTACTTGGCTAGAAACCCATCTGCACATGAAAGAGAAAAGGTGTCATGTTCATTATCATTACAATCTCATTAAAATAAGATCTTAGTACTCGCAACTGCTAAACAAAGATCTGAAGACTCCATTACAGGTCGCATCAGAATGATCTTTCACGAATTTTGAACGACGAATGAAGTGGCTAACATACAAAACATTTTGACACATTTGATTCAAAATTTGAAAACTGACCAAAATAAATTTCTGGAATGTGGAATAGATGACCGAGATTGTAGGACACTGTGGAAGTATCTATCGTTTCACATGTTTATCCCATTGAAGTGAGAGATAGACAATGATTTTGACAGAATCAGTCGTACAGACTGTCACTGTCATTTGGAATACCCTTTTCAAGGTTCTCAGATCTTTGTTATGTGGTAGTGAGAGCTAAGATCTGATTTTAATGAGATTGATTCTTATTACTTTGAATTAATTATAAAATATCATCACAGACTTGTCATCAATGTTCATATCACAATACACATAGTACAGTTAATTCCTCTTTTTATCAGGCCACCTCCGTGGTCTACCCGGTAGTTTGACTGGTAGAGCATCCACCTGGAGAGCGGAAGGTCTGATGTTTGATCCCTGGCCGCGTCATACTAAAAGATGGTACTTCTTCTTGTTAACCTGCCTGGCACTCAGCGTTAAGGGGCCAAAACAAGGACTGGCTGGCTCGGAGTGAGTATACTGTGTCTGAGTGGGATATTCATTTTAAACTGTTGCATTTTATCTCAGAGGGCCAACACTATAAAATCGGCTTCCAGACTAGTAAAAGCAATACCATCCACACCCATACCCACACCCACATGTGCATGCACAACATTATATAAGTGCAATAATCTTGAAAGCAATGCTAAACCCCATTTCATCTTACCTCCTTTTTGTATCTCCTTTCTGGTTACATCAAAATTACATCTCAGCTCCTTCACTATGTTCATGTGCAAACTGCTTTCTTATTTGAAAGCTGATGTTTAAGCAGTGTGTGATGGAATACTAGTTTCTTCATAAAAATACTTTGGTGACTCTCTATATACCCATGACATTATTTCAGCCTAAAGAACTTACAGTCTTCAAAGTTAGGTATCCCAGTTATACCCTCTTCTTCCATCTTCTGTCCAAAGTTTTTCTTCCTCTTTCGTTCTAACATTTCTGCCTGCCGTTTCCGCCTTGCTTCTGCCAGTTCCTGTTTAAGAAGCTCATCTTTATACGATGTATCACGTTTCTTAGGTCCCCACCTCTTCTTGTTTTCAATGGGTTGTCTGAATGCCTGCAGTTTGTGCTGGACTCGGCCAATGGTGGTCTGACTTAGAGTTGATGGAAGATAGGGGACGACTGGAGGCAGCACGATCTCCTCTAGCTTCACCTGGACACTCTCTGTGTGAATAGATCAATATTGCAAAATGGGGCTTGTACTCTACTCATGTAACTTTTGGAGACAAGTACTCTAGTTTAACAATAATTCTTTCGAATACTTTACCTCGTTGACATCATAGCCATACATTCCTAAGAACCAGTCTAAGGCACTTGGACTGCTAGGACATAGTCACTATTCCATTCCTACATTGAACAAATTTGTGGAACATCCTGACAGACTCCTGTGTCCCATTAGAGCTCTGAAACATTATCTCATAGCTGCTGAAAAACATAGAAGACAAAGGAAATTGCTATTCATCTCTTGCTAGCCTTCATCAGATAACAACACAACAAAGGCGTCTGTGGCAGGATGGCTAAAGACCACCATATCAGATAGCTACCATCAGGCACAGCTTTCAACACTGACGTAGGGTACCTTTACAAGGTACGTTAGCCTTGGGATATTTTGTCAAACAGGGTGGGACGGATCATAGGTTAACGACTTGAACGGCATAAGATCTGGAGGTGATCTATAGCTCCATAGAAGTGACGCCAGAACTAAATGACATCAAACTGGATGTGAACCAGAATTGACATCATGACCCAGATGTGACGTCATAAAAACCGGAAGTGCCAACAAAACAGGATTCTCAGAGGAGGTATCAGGTATTGTGCAATGTTCTTCCCGGTTTCCTTTCTTTTCATACTTAAATGATTCCAGCTGTCTAGGATTACTGGTCAGATCCAACTGGTCTCTCTGATGAATTCTGGATATGATGAGTGAGTGAGTATGGTTTTATGGCATTTTTAGCAATATTCCAGCAATATCACGGCGGGGGACACCAGAGAGGGGCTTCACACATTGTACCCATGTCGGGAATCGAACCTTGGTCTTCGGCGTGACGAACTAATGCTTTAACCACCAGGCTACCAGACCGCCCCCCTGGCTATGATGAAATAGAGATAGGGTATTTGAAGGAATTACAAAAACAACAGTTAACATTGTGTATATTATTTCTTACCCTGACATAACACATTGCAATTTTCATCAGGAAGAGAAAGTCTTAACAGCCATGCAGAGTGGCGTTAGCTAACAGTCGTTACAATCGCCATATCTTTTGTTGTGACTGCAATTGTTGAGGCAGTAAAAATCATGACAACCACGTTCTGTCCAGAACAAGGAGCACTTTGTCATCACCTACATCATGCTACATGCAGGCCGACAGGAACAGATTTGCAGGTGCTGAACATGGCGCCGGGCGCAGGCGTGAGACCGATAAGAGCAGATTTGCATCCCATTCATCCAGCCAAGAGACTCTAAAGACCATTCATCTCTATTCCTTGTAATACAATTTACATGAGTACATCATGGCTTCAAGCTATGGTGAGTGTATCAATCTGTGAGCTCTCCTCACCTTCTTCCTTGCTGGGTATCTCAGCCACTTTCTCTTCATAGATCCAGTCTGCCGATTTCTTTACTTGCACCACTGCTGGCGCAAGCTCACTGACAGCTTCCTCAGTCTTACATGGACGCCGGCTTACCACACGTTCACGCTTCTTAATTGGAGACCGCCCCTTGGCAACAAACAGCAGTAAGTAAAATATTTTCAAAATGAAAATGATTGCAATGTAACTCTCAGGCATCATTCAACCTGTCAATGTCAATCATTCACTCATAACTATTGGGCGTCATTCACTGTTTCACTGATCATTCAACCTGTCATTCAGTACATCATTCACAGCATACAGACCATCATCATACAGCTGGAATATTGCTGAATGCGGTGTTAAACAAACAAACTAAAGGAACGGTATATCTTGAAATTAATGTATCTCCAAATTAATACTACTGCTCACACCTAGCCAAAAATGCGACTCAATATTAATGCGACTTCCCCCCTCCATCCCCAGTGGATTGATATATATCCTTACCTTAATCCAACCTTATCTTAATCAAATCAAACAGCAAATAACACCACTCATTAGCACTGAGTAAAAACAGTTCACTGATTGGTATGCGGAGAAAGTATCAACAAACTTGACAAGACGAAGGCTGTAGATCTGAGGCTAAGTGTGATGCAGTGTTGCGTGGGTGGCATCTGTCTTGGACCGCTGGAGTATTTGATGCCTAATTACTCACCAGATGCTCATTGTGTATTTTCTATTCTTTGAATGACATTTTTATATACTTGTTACAACTCCTGTTCAATAAACCATGATGTGGAATATATAATTCTTTGTGTTTATATTTAAGTTGGCATTTCCACTATCAAAATTGTGCAGTGAGGCTGTCTTATTTTTGATAGTCATTTTGGGGACATAAATGCAAAGTTTAGTTAATGTGAGCAAAGACCACTTGCATTTAATTCACGCTCGCATTAATTTCAAGATTTACAGTAGTTGCTTGCTGGTGTGATTGAGTGCTTTCACAGCTGATCTCACCTGATCCGACTGTTCTGAGCTGCCTCTATCGGAGTCGACTGACGGGGATAAGGGGGGAGCAGGGGCAGCGGGCTGTGCTGTCACCACAGGGAGGGATATTGGCAGAGGCTGCGGTTTGTCATCACTAGAAACTGAAATACACAAGTATTCTTAATACTTTTCAATAGATTAAAAGTTCCAAAATCCAAGATATGTAAATCGAGTAAAAAGTGTTTTAAATCATGCACTTATAGGAAGATTTGAATTAAAAGACTTTACAATACAATTGCCATCACATTCATTTTCAAATCACTTGAACCTAATATCAGTTTTTTTTGTCATAATGGGTAGGTTTCTCAGCAAGATAGATTCAATGGATAAAACTGTATTTGTTGGCATCATATACCGATAAATATGCAATGTAAAAGGTCAGATAGGTACCACTTTTGGTGTTTACAAACACAGATTGAGCTACCATTGTCTAGCTGCGATTGAGTCAGAATTAGCCAATGGGGGATCTGGACAAATACAAGGATAATTATTATCATTATCAAAATAATAGTCTGAAATGCAGAAAATCAATGCCTAACAGGGATGTAGCTGAAGCATTTTACAAGTTTGGGAAACTTTGGAGGTATAAATATTGCAAAACAATTTAGCGAGGGTACTAGCGATCAGTTTCCATATCTGTGCTTGAATCCTCTGCAGCTTGGGGTCTTTTCTCCAATTAAAAAAGTTGGATTTGTCTGTAATATGTGTGAGATGTTACCTTGTTTCATGTTGTTGCTGTGTGGAAATCTGACTGTATATCTTAAGGTTATGACAGGCCAGGCAAACAGACATCTCCTACACTAGAGTAGCTGCACTTTGTAAGGGGCAATTAGTCTACTGGGCTGAATGACAGACTGACGCGAAAGGAAAACAGATAGATCATGTGCAGGCAATTGTTACTTTGCCGATATGTAGTTACGCCACTCTAAAAAAAAATAGGTTTCAGATGGAACTACATTGACTGTTATTTCTGTCCGACTGACTAATCACATTCCAGGCAAACTCCAGGCGATGTTTAGGTAAAAGTGATGAGAATAGTTTTTTTTACCACAGAATTTAAGAACATTACATACAAAAAAGAGGTTATCAAGCTAGTGTGTTTTGAGATGATAAATATTCTGTATTAGAAATAAACTATGTATTAACCTCGCCAAGGCTCGCTAAATACACTGTTTTTTTACTAACACAGGATATTTACCATCACAAAACATACTTGCGTTATAATCTCTATATACTAGCCACTACCATAACACCAGCCCAGCTACTGCTGTGATCACAAAGGCCAGGCGATATGTAGAAGTGACTATCTGTGTCACAGCATACATCCTGCAATCTCTATTCCAGTCACTGAGACAACCAAAACCCTACCCCATGCTGCCACATTCCTGAGATAGCCTACCTGTCTTCACTAAGAAAACTGTCTGTTTATGACTGTATCGACACTACATACCAACACACAAAGATAACATATGAAAGATGTATAAATGAAACACAATTTACATTTTCATATCTGTTAAAGCTCTGAGCTAAATAAAATTCATGTTAATTTCATGTATACAAATCATAGAAAAACTGGAATCATATTTACTCAATGTTGCTCTTTTGAAAATTGAATCCCATTTTTTCACAGCTATTAAGACCAGCAAGGAGCCCTGGGTGCTCCACTCCAGAACAGCCTACATTATTCTTTTTGATGGACAATGTTCATACAAATACAAATACATATGTCACAGAAAGCCACACTAGAAGACTGAACTGTCCACATAATACAACAAATAGTCCAAGTTGAGAAATGTTCATTCCCCTCACCTCTGTCCGCGCCTCTATCACAGAAGTCACAGAAAGCCATACAAAATGAACACCATGTCATGTGACTGATTGAATCTGTCTACCTTATTTACCGGTGTGTAGGTAGATAAACAACATAATGATTGGATGTAATTGTCAGCTGACATGCAATCCACATGTAATGGACATATCTATGACTATGTCATCTTAGTACCAATATGGCAGGGGGCTTACTGATCAGAACAATATCAACATATTGTGTTACAATCATTGCTGTAAATATAAGCTGGGTGAATATCAGACTCTCCAACATAACACTACTATTTCTTGTTGACGTTGACAGTATTGTTGGTTGAAAGCTGAAAAAGGTCACATAAATAAAACCAACATAAAAAAACAAAAACAAACAATGGCTATTGATAAATACAAAAGACAAATAAAAAGGTACCACAGGTATTGAAGCTCACGATTAATGGAAGAATTAATCTTTCTGGGACAATGTTTTTACCAGTAAGTCTCTTGTGGGTGTCAACATTTCAGTGAGTGAGCCTATGTGGCTTGGACCAGTATTTCAGTTATCTATAATAATGTGGGAGGAAGCCCAAAGTAGCACAGGTAAACATTTGTCACCTTCGTTAAAGTCAGGAACACTGGCATGAAGCTGACAAAGCAAGGAACATAAACTGGGCAAATCTGTGATTTTGAACCCACATCTGGCAGTTCCTGGCACATCTAAGGGAGACAGTCTTAGGCCAATAGAACATAGTGTTGTTACCTGTCAAACTTTTAGTTTTAATTAACTACTTGTAGCTATGTCATTTTCCAAACAAATTCAGCTGACTAATTTAATTCGAAATGAGGCATGAAAGCCAAGGGGTAAAATCACATCATAAAATCTTTTAGTTTTTCAACAGGCGTTCACTTTACTGCCACATTGTCTATGATTAGTTTTGAGGTAAACTCTACTCTCAGGTTAATGCAATTTCGCATGTGCAAGGTGGCAAAACATCTATCCGTCATTCTAGGGAAAACTTCTTCTCGACTTCTTCTATATATGACACAAGTCTGTCTGTGGGTCCACAACAGTTTATTGAGGTACAGTTACAAGGTGTTGCTATGACTCTCAGATTCTGACTGCCCAGCTCATTCCTGACCATGGTCCTTAAAAGGTTATACCATCCGGCCAGTAGTACCTTGTCTGCAATCCACCATGTTATTAATGCAGTGACCGTCAGGATATCTCCTTTTTAACCATGTAGTTCCAAGAATATCACCTGAGGTCTTACAATACACCTGACTTCTCTCACTCCCTTTTCAGACAGTCCTCCATGGCCAACATTTATGTTCTAGCCAAATATGTGTCCCCCCATCAGGGTGTTTGGCTAAGAGGGAGGGTGTGATGGATGTCACTGATACAGGGCCCATCCTGCAAATCTTGCCTCTGATACATTATTTCTTTCCCGTGTGTGCAGAAGTAAACATCATTTTTTTAGAAATCACATTCTTGCACATTTTTTGAAACGTTATCACACTGTAATTTCAAGATTGTCTGTCAAGACAAGATACAGATATCAGACACTTGCAATACCTGCCAGGAGTATTGAAGATCAGACGATGAAGTAAGTAGTTAGTACGTAGAGCATATTGTGGGAGCTAGTAAATGACATCATAGAACTGGAAATGATGTCATAGAACTGGAAATGACTTCATAAACGCCAATAAATTAAATAATATGAGGAGAAATCAGTAGACTAAGCATTATAGTTCTGTTTTTCTTAGATAAGCTGGCTAGAAGAGGCCGTCTGTTGAAAATCTAAAAGATGTTATAGTGTGATGACAGCCAAAATGGAATTTATGGCTCTGATGTAATAGTGGTAATATTCTTAGAATTATACCCAATGATAACTATTATTTGATTTCAGCATGCTTCCATTGAGGCCAAATTTAAGCTGACCTTTCCCTCTGACAACCAAAAGTTTGTTGATATCCTTTTCGTCTATCACTAAGATGTTTTTTCAAATCCTCTTATAAGATCATATTGAGATGTTGAGATACACATTCTCTAAACCACAAGGACAAACACAATGAAATAATCTCATACAACAACATGTCTTGTACCTCTCCGCTGGTTGGTCTTGTGAGAAGGCGATGGCTTCTCCTCCTGCACAGGGACCTCCCTGGGTGCTGTGTCATAATAGTGATGCAAGGATTAACTATACTCAAGGGAAATAGGAGCCACCATGTTCTAATTGTTATTTTACAAATTGTGAAATACATGACTAAATATACATATTCCTTCTTTGCAGGAATGAAGCAGGGTACTTCAAAGGTTGTCCAGTTCCAGTTAAGGGTAGCTATAAATATCTAGTTGTAATCTTTTCAAGCAGTTTGGAAACGCTTAAATGTCTTTCTAAACGCTTTGAGGGGCAAGAGGGCACGTATGAAAATTGTTGGAAACATGAACAAGATGAGCTTGTATTAACCCATTCATCTTCCTGAGTTAAGTGACTGTATAAGTCCAGTTTCCACCCTTGTCAAATTAGGTTGGAATTAGGGAGTTATATTTTGGCTGGCCTAATGAGTTTATGCATAGTCAAATCAACATCCGGTTTATAAACAACATGGCAACTACCATGCCAAATTTGTTCGATTTGCAGAGCATGTGTACCGTCAACTGGTCATCAAATCTTTTCATGGTTTTAAGGTGCTCTAGTGATTTGATGCAAGGTAAAACATGTTTTATTACAATAGATATCTTTATTATCAATGACATCGTCTTGACTGGGTGCTGCCATTTTGTTTGAAGCCAATGCAAGTGATATGAGAGGTGGAATCTAATTAGTCAATAGGAGGGACATGGAAGGGGTATAACTTGTAATAGCTACTGGTGGCGCTACGATCAAGCCCAGAAATTCCAGTCTAGTTCGGCAAGGGTGGAAACTGGACTTTGAAAGTTGGTTAACTCCCTTGCCTCGGGAAGTGTTAGTGTTTTTCAAGATTTGTGACATACAGGTGCAGCCTATCCTTACACATGGAGCGACATCCTGGGGTTTACAAAGGCTTGACACAATAGAGAAAGTACATGGGATGAAGGAAGGTTGAATGCAATTTATAGTTTGATAATTTTTTAATTTGACGTTTACACCATATACAGCTTTTTCATTGGACGAGAGGTCGGTCACATGACCGCGAAATTGACGTTCATAAGTGTATGAATGACACAATTTGACGTTCATACGTTTTTCAAGAGACCGTGTTCTTGAAATGACGTAAACACTGACGACTACTTCCACATTCCTGGGGAAACCCCTGGGAATTCCCTACCACGAAAACATACATAAGCATTATTTCTGATCATTTAGAACCTTTATTCTTGGTCTCAGCATTTCAGTATACATTGAGAAACATAAGAGAGCTTGACTGCATGATTGTTCACGAATTTCCTCGCTACGGCCCATCCTAATGAACAAACAAAAAAATGCACATCCAAACTATCGTCAGTATTGACTCGATCTGTGTCTATGGTGACAGTGACCGTCTCCAGCAATCTACGAATTTACCTTGGTGTCTGTTTGACGCATCTTTAATCACCTTTCAATAATCGGTCAGTTGATCAATGATGACTAACACATGTAACCGCCACAGGTTCATTAACAACTTCGGAAATCCTCCCGTCACGTTTATCGCATCGGCCATTTTGACGTCTTGTACTTGATGTAAATGTATTACGACACGCTGTCATTGTGACTGACTTACTGAGGTAGTTCTTTACATACCTTTCTCATCTAATGGTGATATTATTTGAACACATGTGTTGCATAAGATGTTTCTGAAGAGCAAGTTGTGCATCCATACGCTCATGTTACCTCTCTTTTTGGGGAACTATTTTATTCCGCGATATAGCTGGTTGTTGTTTGGCCGTCTTTGTAAAGTCACACGTACTAAATAAAATTGTGTTTAGATCTTGGCCTACATCCTTGGAGGTAAGAAATTCTGATAAAAAATTATAAGAATTGGCTTTAACTTTGTGTGAGTTCATTGGAGTATAAACCTTCATAGAGTGAGGGCCAAAAACACAAAAAATTATGCCCTTCTACAGCAGTTAATGTTTGTATATATAAATGCAGTATATTTTAAAGATTTTTAATATTGTAATTCAAAATTGCAAACTTAAATTCAAATTCTATTCAGACAGTTTTGGTGAAATATTTTCATTCCTTGTGGGAGATGTACAGCAAAATAATTTGAGGTGTGATAGTCCATATCATAAGAATTATTATCAATAAATTTATATCATCAATGATACTATTGCGCATTGGCTTATCTACATGCCAATACCTAAACAATATTATAACCCTTCAACATTTACCCGCCATCCTTGATATGTTTTTGCCTTCAAGCTACATGTAATCTTTATTCAAGTATGTATTTTGATTTTTTTCTGTTTTTCTTCTAAAAGTTAGTATAGTTATTGTAGCTATTAGCAATGAACAGACATCTTATTCAAGATCCTTGTTAACTACCTTTCTTCTGTTTGGCTGTAGGTCTGGCTGGTTTCTGTCGTTGTTGAGGAGACTTGTTCACTTTAGCAGTGTTTGGTTTTGGAGGAGACCTGCTTGGTTTCGATGTGGCAGGCTTTCCTATACACAACACCATAAAGTATAGTCACAATCAAGTCACAATCAAGTCACAATCAAGAATGATGAAAACAGAATTAGTGTTATGATGTCGATAAGCTGGATATAGGAATGAATAGGTTATTAAACTTGATACAAGATTTCTGACACACATGTAGACCAGATGGTTAATCCCTAAACTTATTTGGACATGGACATTGTGGATATGTATGCCAAACCTTTTAGTTACAGTTACTCACAAAAAAAACACACAAGAAAAGTCTGAAAATTGGGCAGCTTTGCTTAGCCATGTTAGGTGGTTGGACGGAAAAGAGCAGATCCAAAAGCAAAACAAGCACGTCGGCAAGAACTTCTCAGGCATTTGCAATCCAACAGCAATACAACAATAAACGACTTGTCATCAACACCAAACTGTATTTCATGTGTGTATTTGATTTGTATCATCAATAAAAGAGATTGAATATGATATTTTCATACAACTATGACTTCCTCTCCACCCTTAAATCCCTGAAAGAAAACAAGTTTGCATTTTGCTAAGTAATTTTCCATACAATAGCTCCTTCATACAGAGCCTCATCAGCAATACATGCCTGCGTAGTAGTAGTTTTTTTTACTGCAACAGCACCTTGTATTAAATCATGATATTCCCTCTCCTAAGAAATATTTGAGGAGAGAATTTGGAAATCCAATCTACTAATTGAACTGTCCTATCATTACAATAGTATCAAATCATTTCACTGCATTGGCAGAAATGTGATGAGAGTCAATCCTCACCAAACCCACTATATAAAACAAAAGGGATATTTTCAAAATCAAAGCACTTGTCTGAAACTGACTTGCACATGTTGGATATACATTGACATGAAACAAACTATTCATTTATCATTTTTACAGTCATGGCACAGAATCAAACATTAATTGACTGTTGCCTAGTTTTATCCTGGGTCCTGGGGGATTCAAGAAAGCAGGACTGAATCATTAAAACTATTAGAAATTGTAAATTGCATGTTGCATAATTGTCACTTTTGTTCTGGTTAGAAATACAAGGTTATGAGTGTCACTGGTGGACTTTCTTCAATCTAACGTTGAAAACCCCCATCTAAGATAGGCTATATATATTGTTAAGACAATTTAACAACTGTTATTGGGCTTGTCAATAGATAGACCTTGTCACAGATAATAAATGATTAATAACTATTACCAGAAAATAAAATTAATGTATTGCAATAAACAAAATTCTTAACTTTAGATAAAGATAAGTACTCTGAATATTCTTAGTACAACACTTGACAAACTGATCTTAAATCTAACCTGATTTTATAATCATGATTATCAGAGATAATGACTTTTGACACAGCAACGAATGACTGTTGTTGAAAAGTTTAAATCAGTAGTAGGGAGATTTTAGGGAACACTTGGACCCATAAAAGGTCTATTTGTCTTGAAGAGCTGGGGTATTTCATTAAAGAAGTTGTCTCCCTTGACTTAACATTTGACCTTGCTAATGTGACCTTCATAACTTTTCATTCATTATTCATTAAATATCATTACAAAGTGCATGTTGATGAAAATGAGTCACCATTTATGGTTCAAATATGGTTATATCACTTTTACAAACAAACAAAATGGTAAAAAACATATTTGCCCGAGATTGATGTTGGTTGGGTACTTCATGGAGTGAGAGTATATACATATAATTCATTTCAGCACAAAAGTCAGGGTAGTTCAAACATTTTACTGGCCTTATTGTGTCTGCTTTTCCTAGACAATTCAGGCAAGGAGTCAGCGGAGAGAAACTCATAGAAGTCAATAAGTCATAAGTATCAGGATACTGATTGTTAGTAACTGAATGTTGTTTTACACCAGTCATTCATTCAAGGTTACTACTGTGACCTACTTGGAGATGACTTCCTTGAATGTGTTGATGTCTGGCTTTTGCTTGGTGGCTGGCGTGGAGGAGGAGGAGGTGGTGGCTGTTGTTGTACCTGTCGCTTGCTGACCACATCAGCAGTACGGCCCATCTGGCTTGTGTCAGGTTTGTCTGGGGTTGTTTGGTCAGCAACCCTATTGACCATCTCTTCTGCATGGGAAACAGCATGCATTGTGAGTTGAAAATATACCATCCCCATTGACATGAAAGTTAATCTTTCAACAGAATTAACAACCAGTTAAATCATCAGCAGTGACAATCTTGTTCATGACGTCAACTGTAAATAAAATATTATGTCTCTAATAGCCACTACATGATGGTAATCACTACTAAATAAAGTTCTTGTGAACCTTCTACTTGTTATTTCTAATATCCCTAAAGATACCCTAGATTACTTATTTGGTGCTTTATCCTGAATTTTTGTGGATTTGATGGGTTTTTTCGTCTAAAAACGAGTACTTTAATCTGGTGATGTACATTTTTTGTGACATAACTATGATTTTTTTAATTTCAAAAGGTGAGAGTTCACACATTACAATAAACAAACATATCATTATTTAGAGCTGCAGTTGAAAAAAGTCAATCAGGAAATGAGAAAGAGAGAACAAAAAACAGTGCCCTTAGATAAGAATATTATATATTGTCAAAATGCATACAGCTTACATCTGAAGATAGATATCCTTGCCTTGTTCAGATTAAGCAAGAAAGTCAAAGGGTCCTTGTCATTGCTTTGTACACAAAAAGATTTAGGGGGCCCTGTATTCAAATACATGTACTATAGAAGCAACCTCAAGGACCCCAAGATCTGCTTCATTTGGAACACCGCTATGTACATATGTTAATACTGCATATCACTAACAACATGTCCATACAAGTAACACAATTCACAGTCACTGCATTATATGTGTGTATACATGCCACTGTATATGTTAGTGAATGTTAGTATCACTACAAGTATATATACATATACCAGCATGCAGATAGTCATGCTATTGTGTACACCACAACATGCACACAACAACTAGATACCAAGTTTCTGTTGTCTGCTTCGGGGTTTCCTCGTAGTTCGTGTCCCCCTTGGTCCTCCCTCCCCTCCCCCTCCCCACAGCTGTGTCTCCACCTCCACCTTCCCATGTTTGCCCACACGGTACGGAACACTCTGTGAGACAGGTTCCATTTCCACCACATCTGTGGCCAGTACTTGGGGGAAGTGAACAGACTTGGGATGTGGATGTTGTTCACAAACAACATACTGAATAGACACGGATGGCTGTTTGGGAACACTGTCCACTGTCTCAGAAGACACTCTTGATGTTGCAGATGTGTCTGTTTCAGTGTATTTGGGCATGGGAGGTGAGATGGCGGTGATGGGTGTATGGGGTGTGATGGGTGTATGGGGTGGGATCGGGAGGGGGGATGTGTTAAGTGAGAGGGATGTGTGGGTTGAGGTGGAAATGTGGTGAGACACAGGTGTGTGGGTAGGAGAGGGTAAGATGAGAATCTCCAGGTAGTGTGGGGTGATGCTGGCTGTAGGGTGTAGTCTCTGTCACTTATCTCATATATGCATGTAGGGTAAATAGGTAACAGTTTGAAATTGTGAAGTGTTTAACACTTTAACATTTGTAATACATGTAGTATAATCTTCATTTTTCACATTTACAGGGCATATGGTAATAACTATTTTCAAGGTTCATTACTTAAAATCTGCATCTTTTAAAGACAAGAAGATGTGTTTGGTTAATTCTAATTTTGATTTAGTTATTTTGATTGAGTTACACTGTAAACATTCCAGCTATATTACAATAAAACTGGAAATGATGAAGTCATGAGGATGCATAATCAACCATGTCACACCCTAGCAAGTGGGAGTTTAGTTTAGACTTTTGAGATGATCATTTACTGATTACACTGCTACAGAAAAGGTCAACATTGGACAAGATCGATTTTGGTTGACTGAAAATGTCATATTCTAAAATTGCTAAAACTTTGAAGTATTGGTATGAAACTTATCACTCATATGACATGTCAAAAAGGTTTCTTCTTCCTCATATTTTCAAGTTTTGAGCCTGTGACATGACCAAATACATATGTATGGATAATATGAGTAGAAAAGGTTGATTACTTAATTTCAAGAGAACATAAGAGTGCGCAAACCAGTGACCTGAGAAGACTGCTGTATCATATTTTGTACTCTTTCTGTATTTTCCTAAGAAAACAGTCTAAGTCTCATTCAAGTCAACACATCTCCCAATCATTATCATGTGTGAAAGTTTTCTTCATTTTTTTAATTATGATTATCCTCGGCAAAAAGGACCTTATCATACCTCTTGGTCTTTAGTAAATGGACAGTCAGATTTAGTTAATGGGAAAATCTGCATGTTTTCTACATATAATAATCAAGACGTAATTGTGTCTTACATTTTATGATGCAGTCATGGAATTGTTTAACTCAAAACATGTCAAACTGGATGAAGAATACATGACAAACCTATTTGTATTTCTAACATAAGTCACAACCAGTATACTGAATTCACTGTGACTCAAAAAATTAAGAAGTTACCTTCATGAGCTCACCAAGGTCCAAGTGAGCCTTTGGTTTGACAAATTGTCTGTGTATCTGTGTGGAATGGATTCTTGACGTTTCAATATAAAATAAGCAATACCTCATTTTTTACTATTGGCTATGAGGGGCACTAAATAATCAATACTGACCACTTCTCTCCTCATCACTGTCCTTTATCTCCCATGCCTTTATGTCCACAGACTGACCGGTGTCTCCTGTGTCCGGTGATGGAATGAGAGGTACCTGCAGCTCCAGCCTCTCTGCCTCAGTTTCCACTTTATTCCCCTCTTGGGTGTCCACGGATCTCCAGGCTGGACCCACATTTTCCAAAGGTGTGGGCTGTGGAAAAGATGGGCCAGCGGAGGGGGCTCGAGGAGGCTGCAAGTTGGCCAGATGATTGCCTACAAAAAGGGATACGATTGCATCTTTTAGCAATCTTGATCTATATGTGAAATGTATTATTGATAATTTCATAGGGATCTGTGGCTCAAAAGCATGACTGTGATACTGGAGCAGTTCCACTCTATGCATGTATGTATGACAAGGCTAAATATACTGGGGGGCATAAAACACATATATCAGGAAGAAAGGTCAGATATATTTTTCATTTCTCAAAACATGACATATGAAGGTACATAAAATGACATCATAATGGTCTAACAATACTAGACAGTTAGCCGAAGATAACTGATGCAACCATTCTTTGCGAGCACATCCAAAACAAGTGGTTCCAGAACTGTCACATGTCTTAATACCATGTCTGTACACCTTGGGCAGGCATTCAAGCCTGAAGTCTGCCAGGCATTGACAAGCACAGTATCCAATTCAAAGCTTGTGGAATGGCTCTCCAGTGACATTGCAAAGCTTGAGTCAACACAGTTTGGGGAGGATTCCACTGACGTCTAAGTTCATCCCACAGGTATTCGATTGAGTTGAAATCCGGTAATCATGAGGGCCAGTTCAAGACATCTACATTATTCTGAAGCAAAAAGTCCTGTATTATCCTAGCCGTATGAAGTCTGTCATTGTCCCGTTGGAACACGAGGCGATTTTGTCCATGTCTTCTCATCAATGGCAAAGGCACTGGTTGCAACGTTGAGCTTTGAGATTTCCATGAAGAAAAACCAAGTCTGAGCGGAGGTTGACATTAATTGCTCCCCATACCGTAACTCTACATCCTCAACAAGCAGTTACCATCATCTGAACCAGTTAAACTCTATGCTACATCTTCCATAGGCAGTTGCCAACAACTGAACCAGTTCTCCTCTATGCTACACCTTCCATAGGCAGTTGCCAACAACTGAACCAGTTCTCCTCTATGCTACACCTTCCATAGGCAGTTGCCAACAACTGAACCAGTTCACCTCTATGTTACACCTTCCACTGATGGAGTTGCCAACATCTGAACCAGTTCACCTCTATCCTACACCTTCCATAGTCAGTTGCCAACATCTGAACCAGTTCTCCTCTATGCTACACCTTCCATAGGCAGTTGCCAACAACTGAACCAGTTCTCCTCTATGCTACACCTTCCACTGATAGAGTTGCCAACATCTGAACCAGTGCACCTCTATGCTACACGTTCCATAGGCAGTTGCCAACAACTGAACCAGTTCTCCTTACACCTTCCATAGGCAGTTGCCAACAACTGAACCAGTTCACCTCTATGTTACACCTTCCATAGGCAGTTTTCAACATCTGAACCAGTTCATCTCTATGCTACACCTTCCATAGTCTGTTGCCAACAACTGAACCAGTTCTCCTCTATGCTACACATTCCATAGGCAGTTTTCAACATCTGAACCGGTTCACCTCTATGTTACACCTTCCACTGATGGAGTTGCCAACATCTGAACCAGTTCACCTCTATGTTACACCTTCCATAGGCAGTTGTCAACATCTGAACCAGTTCTCCTCTATGCTACACCTTCCATGGTCAGTTGCCAACAACTGAACCAGTTCATCTCTATGCTAGACCTTCCACAGATGGAGTTGCAAACATCTGAACCAGTTCTCTTCTATGTTACACCTTCCATAGGCAGTTGCCAACATCTGAACCAGTTCTCCTCTATGCTACACCTTCAATAGGCAGTTGCCAACAACTGAACCAGTTCATCACTATGCTACACCTTCCACTGATGGAGTTGCCAAGATCTGAACCAGTTCACCTCTATGCTAGACCTTCCATAGGCAGTTGCCAATAACTGAACCAGTTCATCTCTATGCTACACCTTCCACAGATGGAGTTGCAAACATCTGAACCAGTTCTCCTCTATGCTACACCTTCAATAGGCAGTTGCCAACAACTGAACCAGTTCATCACTATGCTACACCTTCCACTGATGGAGTTGCCAAGATCTGAACCAGTTCACCTCTATGCTACACCTTCCATAGGCAGTTGCCAACAACTGAACCAGTTCTCCTCTATGCTACACATTCCATAGGCAGTTGCCAACAACTGAACCTGTTCTCCTCTATGCTACACATTCCATAGGCAGTTGCCAACAACTGAACCAGTTCTCCTCTATGCTACACATTCCATAGGCAGTTGCCAACAACTGAACCTGTTCTCCTCTATGCTACACATTCCATAGGCAGTTGCCAACAACTGAACCAGTTCTCCTCTATGCTACACATTCCATAGGCAGTTGCCAACAACTGAACCAGTTCTCCTCTATGCTACACATTCCATAGGCAGTTGCCAACAACTGAACCAGTTCTCCTCTATGCTACACCTTCCATAGGCAGTTGTCAACATCTGAACCAGTTCATCTCTATGCTACACTTTCCATAGTCTGTTGCCAACAACTGAACCAGTTCTCCTCTATGCTACACATTCCATAGGCAGTTTTCAACATCTGAACCGGTTCACCTCTATGTTACACCTTCCACTGATGGAGTTGCCAAAATCTGAACCAGTTCACCTCTATGCTAGACCTTCCATAGTCAGTTGCCAACAACTGAACCAGTTCTCCTCTATGCTACACCTTCCATAGGCAGTTGCCAACAACAGAACCAGTTCATCACTATGCTACACCTTCCACTGATGGAGTTGCCAAGATCTGAACCAGTGCACCTCTATGTTACACCTTCAATAGGCAGTTGCCAACAACTGAACCAGTTCTCCTCTATGTTACACCTTCCATAGGCAGTTGCCAACAACTGAACAAGTTCACCTCTATGCTGCACCTTCCACAGATGGAGTTGCCAACATCTGAGCCAGTTCTCCACTATGCTACACCTTCCATAGGCAGTTGCCAACAACTGAACCTGTTCTCCTCTGTGCTACACATTCCATAGGCAGTTGCCAACAACTGAACCAGTTCTCCTCTATGCTACACATTCCATAGGCAGTTGCCAACAACTGAACCAGTTCTCCTCTATGCTACACATTCCATAGGCAGTTGCCAACATCTGAACCAGTGCACCTCTATGCTACACCTTCCATAGGCAGTTTCCAACAACTGAACCAGTTCATCTCTATGCTACAGCTTCCACAGATGGAGTTGCCAAGATTTGAACCAGTTCTCCTCTATGCTACACCTTCCATAGGCAGTTGCCAACAACTGAACCAGTTCACATCTGCCACACCTCCCACAGGTACAGCTGCCAATATCTGAACCAGTTCTCCTTTATGCAGGTCAGGTTAGGTGTGCTGTCTAAAGTTGAACCAGGTAACCTCTGTTTTTTATGTGACTATGATCTGTTGACAAGGTATATCAACAGAACTAGAAGTACAACACGACTGATACTGCCATTGCAGCTGAAAATGCTTACCTGTGACATTTCCCTCTACCTTCTGACAGGAATTATGATTTATTACCAACAGCCTAATCTTCGTACACTGGGGACTAATGCTCCCAATCTGAAGACTTTCAAGATTCTAGATATGAAACACTTACTTTCTTATCATTATCAACTGAAATAAAAGCACTCCTAGCTAAGCCATTACCTCTCCTTTTGGCAGACAGACTGTATGAAGTAGCTGAACAGGGGTACTTAAGAGATGGTGTTGTTGATACAAGCTTCTTACCGTACACTTGGATACAGTGATATACTGATAACAATATTGCTGTTGAACTTACGTCTACTCTCAGCATTAGATAACGGTGTAGAGTAAGCTTTTCGGTTCTGTTTCCAGGAGCTACCATCCGGGCTTTTCTTGGAGGGGTTTCTCTTCTGTAATGCCTGCAGCCGAGGTCAAGAATGAAAGTTCATAGCATCTTTAAGTTACTGAAAATGAGCATTATAGAACGTAGAAGTATTTTTGTGATATGAATATGAAATCTGAGGAAATCTGATACTGCAACTTTAATCTACGTATATATCCAAATTACATCCTAACAACTTGAAGATCAAAGTCAATATCTGTATTAGTAATTAAAACTGTTCATGTAAGGGACCGACCATTAGATATTCTAGGAGGGGGACAATTTATTCCCCCCTCCCCCCGGAATATGAAAAGGTCAGTCCCATAAGGATAACATTCAAAGATAAGAATCTTATATTTAACATGGACCCTAAATATCGTATTAAGAGTCCATGGTTTTCAGTATATTTCAGTCTGACATTATGTGGAATATAAAATAAAACTCGGAGCAACATACAACATACAAGTTGTGCAGAAAAGTAAATCAACATTCAAATATAACTATGTCGTTTAAAGAAAATCAACATTCAAATATAACTATGTCGTATAAAGAAAATCAACATTCAAATATAACATTCATTATAACTATGTCGTATAAAGAAAATCAACATTCAAATATAACTATGTCGTATAAAGAAAATCAACATTCAAATATAACTATGTCGTATAAAGAAAATCAACATTCAAATATAACATTCATTATAACTATGTCGTATAAAGAAAATCAACATTCAAATATAACTATGTCGTATAAAGAAAATCAACATTCAAATATAACTATGTCGTATAAAGAAAATCAACATTCAAATATAACATTCATTATAACTATGTCGTACAAAGAAAATCAACATTCAAATATAACTATGTCGTATAAAGAAAATCAACATTCAAATATAACTATGTCGTATAAAGAAAATCAACATTCAAATATAACATTCATTATAACTATGTCGTATAAAGAAAATCAGCATTTAAATATAACTATGTAGTATAGAGAAAATCAACATTTAAATATAACTATGTCGTATAAAGAAAATCAACATTCAAATATAACATTCATTATAACTATGTTGTATAAAGAAAATCAACATTCAAATATAACTATGTTGTATAAAGAAAATCAACATTCAAATATAACTATGTCATATAAAGAAAATCAACATTCAAATATAACCATGTCGTATAAAGAAAATCAACAATGTCTGAAACTAAAATGAGAAAAACATGTCACCAATTTACAAGCATTACCTAGAACAGAAACCAAACTAAAAACATCAGAACATAAGAAGAAACAAATACTTTTCAAAAGTAAACAAAAATATCCTTAAAACAAATGACAACAGTTTGGACAACTACCACTGCTCGTCTGAGATTGGCCTGTCCAACCTGGCGCGCTGAGTCTTGAAAGTACTGCATGTGGGACTGAAACCGATCACAGGGGCGTGGCAGCCATCTACTCTCTCCCGCCCCATGCTGACACCCACAAGAAAAAACTTCATTTAATTATAATTTCTTCAAGATAAGAGTCCCAAAAATAGTCTGAAAATATTTTTCTAAACAGATGATTGTTATTCCTTGATTGGACAACAGAATGAAATGAAGAAACCTTTACTACAGATGAATGTAAGAGACTTGTTAAAAACTTATGGCACATAAAGCCTGACTTTTACTCTCCAGTAATAACTTTTACATAGGATGTTAACAATCACACAACTAACAATAAACAACAGTTTATCACTGTTTTCAACAGGTTTTGGTGACTGAACATCTGAGGCACGTGACCTCACATTTGGGCTCATCATGACAAGACCATGATGTGACTACCGCTCAGAAAAAAAGGCAATGACAGTACAAGTACCAACCCTATCATGTGGTCATGTTAAGAACAACTCATTGTGAATGTAAGGAAGATGTTTGCTATATGAAATGTATTGTACATTACTGTTTTCTGACAGTAGGTAGAAGACATTGTTGAAGTTTAATGACTCAGTTGCACTTGTAATGTTTTGGTTGGGTCCCACAGAAGTCTCTTATTGAAGGAATACAAGTGTTTCATTTAATAAAACATGTAATGTTAAACTCAATGAAAATATAGAAGAAATATACTCATTTTACATGTTTCAGGTAAAGCAAGCTGATATTGTAAAAAACAATGAATCAAGTGACAATCATTAGCAAGAACCATTGCTGGTATAATCAACAATGTCCTGAGGGACAGAACGTACTGTGATAACCTGTAACAAGTTAGGAAATGATTCCACCTTGAAGACTTCAATGAGCATGTACTGGGTATACAAGCTGTCATCAGACACCTTGCATTAGAACTGGAAGCACCTGGTGCAAGTACAATTGGTTGTTTTGTGAAATGAAGTTTAATCAAGACATCTGGTGTCATATTTTATTATTTTTCTAAAATATGTGTTAAATGTTTTTGGAAAAGTCATTGATTTTCCTATGCCCTGGTATTTATACAGATACCAATGGTGGTGGTAAGTGTGATTGCCCTGGTATTTATACAGATACCAATGGTGGTAGTGTGACTGCCCTGGTATTTATACAGATACCAATGGTGGAAGTAAGTGTGATTGCCCTGGTATTTATACAGATAACCAATGGTGGTAGTAAATGTGACTGCCCTGGTATTTATACAGATACAAATGGTGGTAGTAAATGTGACTGCCCTGGTATTTATACAGATACCAATGGTGGAAGTAAGTGTGATTGCCCTGGTATTTATACAGATAACCAATGGTGGTAGTAAATGTGACTGCCCTGGTATTTATACAGATACAAATGGTGGTAGTAAATGTGACTGTCCGGGTATTTATACAGATACAAATGGTGGTAGTAAGTGTGACTGCCCTGGTATTTATACAGATACAAATGGTGGAAGTAAGTGTGATTGCCCTGGTATTTATACAGATAACAATGGTGGAAGTAAGTGTGATTGCCCTGGTATTTAAACAGATACCAATGGTGGAAGTAAGTGTGACTGCCCTGGTATTTATACAGATACCAATGGTGGAAGTAAGTGTGACTGCCCTGGTATTTATACAGATAACCAATGGTGGAAGTAAGTGTGACTGCCCTGGTATTTATATAGATACCAATGGTGGAAGTAAGTGTGACTGCCCTGGTATTTAAACAGATACCAATGGTGGAAGTAAGTGTGACTGCCCTGGTATTTATACAGATAACCAATGGAGGAAGTAAGTGTGACTGCCCTGGTATTTATATAGATACCAATGGTGGAAGTAAGTGTGACTGCCCTGGTGTTTATACAGATACCAATGGTGGAAGTAAGTGGGACTGCCCTGGTATTTATACAGATAACAATGGTGGTAGTAAGTGGGACTGCCCTGGTATTTATACAGATACCAATGGTGGAAGTAAGTAGGACTGCCCTGGTATTTATACAGATACCAATGGTGGTAGTAAGTGTGACTGCCCTGGTAATATACAGATAACCAATGGTGGAAGTAAGTGTGACTGCCCTGGTATTTATACAGATAACCAATGGTGGAAGTAAGTGTGACTGCCCTGGTATTTATACAGATACCAATGGTGGAAGTAAGTGTGACTGCCCTGGTATTTATACAGATACCAATGGTGGTAGTAAGTGTGATTGCCCTGGTATTTATACAGATAACAATGGTGGAAGTAAGTGTGACTGCCCTGGTATTTATACAGATACCAATGGTGGTAGTAAGTGTGATTGCCCTGGTATTTATACAGATACCAATGGTGGTAGTAAGTGTGACTGCCCTGGTATTTATACAGATAACCAATGGTGGAAGTAAGTGTGATTGCCCTGGTATTTATACAGATACCAATGGTGGAAGTAAGTGTGACTGCCCTGGTATTTATACAGATAACCAATGGTGGAAGTAAGTATGACTGCCCTGGTATTTATACAGATACCAATGGTGGAAGTAAGTGGGACTGCCCTGGTATTTATACAGATACAAATGGTGGTAGTAAGTGTGACTGCCCTGGTATTTATACAGATACCAATGGTGGTAGTAAGTGTGACTGCCCTGGTATTTATACAGATACCAATGGTAGAAGTAAGTGTGACTGCCCTGGTATTTATACAGATACCAATGGTGGAAGTAAGTGTGAGTGCCCTGGTATTTATACAGATACCAATGGTGGTAGTGTGACTGCCCTGGTATTTATATAGATACCAATGGTGGAAGTAAGTGTGACTGCCCTGGTATTTATACAGATACCAATGGTGGTAGTAAGTGTGACTGCCCTGGTATTTATACAGATACCAATGGTAGAAGTAAGTGTGACTGCCCTGGTATTTATACAGATACCAATGGTGGAAGTAAGTGTGAGTGCCCTGGTATTTATACAGATACCAATGGTGGTAGTAAGTGTGACTGCCCTGGTATTTATACAGATACCAATGGTAGAAGTAAGTGTGACTGCCCTGGTATTTATACAGATACCAATGGTGGAAGTAAGTGTGAGTGCCCTAGTATTTATACAGATACCAATGGTGGTAGTGTGACTGCCCTGGTATTTATACAGATACCAATGGTGGAAGTAAGTGTGACTGCCCTGGTATTTATACAGATACCAATGGTGGTAGTAAGTGTGACTGCCCTGGTATTTATACAGATACCAATGGTGGAAGTAAGTGTGGCTGCCCTGGTATTTATACAGATAACAATGGTGGAAGTAAGTGTGAGTGCCCTGGTATTTATACAGATACCAATGGTGGTAGTATGATTGCCCTTGTATTTATACAGATACCAATGGTGGTAGTGTGACTGCCCTGGTATTCATACAGATACCAATGGTGGAAGTAAATCTGAATTCCCTGGTATTTATACAGATACCAATGGTGGAAGTGAGTGTGAGTGCACTGGTATTTATACAGATACCAATGGTGGTAGTAAGTGTGACTGCCCTGGTATTTATACAGATACCAATGGTGGTGGTAAGTGTGACTGCCCTGGTATTTATACAGATAACCAATGGTGGTAGTAAGTGTGACTGCCCTGGTATTTATACAGATACCAATGGTGGTAGTAAGTGTGATTGCCCTGGTATTTATACAGATACCAATGGTGGTAGTAAGTGTGACTGCCCTGGTATTTATACAGATACCAATGGTGGTGGTAAGTGTGACTGCCCTGGTATTTATACAGATACTAATGGTGGTAGTAAGTGTGACTGCCCTGGTATATATACAGATACCAATGGTGGAAGTGTGACTGCCCTGGTATATATACAGATACCAATGGTGGAAGTAAGTGTGACTGCCCTGGTATTTATACAGATACCAATGGTGGTAGTAAGTGTGACTGCCCTGGTATATATACAGATACCAATGGTGGAAGTGTGACTGCCCTGGTATATATACAGATACCAATGGTGGAAGTAAGTGTGACTGCCCTGGTATTTATACAGATACCAATGGTGGTAGTAAGTGGGACTGCCCTGGTATTTATACAGATACCAATGGTGGTAGTAAGTGTGTCTGCCCTGGTATTTATACAGATACCAATGGTGGTAGTAAGTGGGACTGCCCTGGTATTTATACAGATACCAATGGTGGTAGTAAGTGTGACTGCCCTGGTATTTATACAGATACCAATGGTGGAAGTAAGTGGGACTGCCCTGGTATTTATACAGATACCAATGGTGGTAGTAAGTGAGACTGCCCTGGTATTTATACAGATACCAATGGTGGTAGTAAGTGTGACTGCCCTGGTATTTATACAGATACTAATGGTGGTAGTAAGTGGGACTGCCCTGGTATTTATACAGATACCAATGGTGGTAGTAAGTGTGACTGCCCTGGTATTTATACAGATACCAATGGTGGTAGTAAGTGTGATTGCCCTGGTATTTATACAGATACCAATGGTGGTAGTAAGTGGGATTGATACTGGACGACATGTATGCTAGTACCCCACTGTGGTAACACTGTGAACATATTCACCTGTCTGCACACTGTTGTGAAGCACTTCTCAATGACGGGCGGAGTGTTGACAAAGCTGAGGTACGCCTTATCCTGAACTGGCTGTAATAGACATTCTCTTGACATGCACAATCTATATCCTATTCTTATATTTAACGTACATGTATTCACTTTCATCATGGTAATGGGAAGAAATAAGTGACAACACATATTGCATGACATTTATTTCAGTTTTCATTTTCTCTTGAGATTAGCCATAAAAAGTTGTCATAATATATGTAAAGTTTTTTCATTCATATAATAAACTTAAAGCACCTAGCTTACAGTAAAGTTTGGGAAGGGCTGACACATAGCAGATCAGTAACTGACTGTAGTTAAGTTCTTGATATCACATGAATATTCTCCTGTATCAACCTACTCAAAAAACAAGGGAAGTGAGATCTGATTGGTTCATGTGATCTTGATAAATCCCTATACCCTGCTTCAAAGCAAAAAGCCACACGCTCAATGTCAATGGAAGTCACGTGACATAGCAAAAGTTAACCTCAGTTTTCTATCAATTTTAAAGTTGTTTTAATTCTTTTTTAATGTCATATTAAAACATGTCTGTAAGATAAATTCGTTGTGGCAGGTTCACTTGGGGTACATGGGGTTTTATGCGTCCCTTGTTAGGTTTTTTCCCCACTCGTGTATGGCTCATGGTACATAATCTAACGTTGGATGCATGAAAACCACATGTACCACTCGTGATAAAACTACAACTGATATTATAGTGGTAAATATGTTTTCATTAACCTAGAAGCCAAGTTTAATCCAATTTGGCTTCAAAGCTACAAAGTTCGAGGTTGATTGCCAATCATTACCTTTTGTATAAAAGTTAACTACATATGGTCAGTAACTCAGTATACCATTCACATAAAGTATGGGCTTATTAACTCACCCACTGAAATGAAATCTCTGCTCTTCTGTGACATGCTATCAAGCATACTGAGCAAATATAATGTAAGTATCTGTGACCTGAACATGACTTTCACCTTAGTCTAAAATACACAGCACTATGACACAACAAATATGACTTCCCAGTCAGAAATAGAGCTCCAAATTTCAAGTTCTCTGTTTTCCCTAACACACTCTCTTTGTCCATTTGTTTCTGCCCACAAAGCACTGCCATACACATACTTTGAAAATTGAAGCAACTCTTACATTTTAACTTGAATTTGTTGACATCACAGCGATTAACTTGGACCATTCTATATGTGAGTGCTGGGAGAGGTGAGGTGAAACAGGGTTATTGCACTTATATAGCAATGTGCATGCACGTGTGTGTGTGTGGCTGCTTGTACTAGTCCAGACTAATGCCGTTGACATAGTGCTAGCTCACTGTGACACCATGCCGCAATTTAACATGAATAACCCACTCAGACACAGTATAGTGACTCAAAGCGGACCATTCCTTCTTTTGGCCCCTAACGAGTGTCAGGCAGGGTAACAACAAGTACCTTCTTTTAACATCTTTTGGTATAATGTGACCTAGTTTTTAACCCCCAACCTTCCGTTCTCTGGGCGGACACTCTTCCACTAGACCACGGAGGCGGTCTTGTGAGGGCTGGGAACTCTCAGTGATGTCTGGTGGTTCCAAACATGATAACAGTGTCCCAGTATGAATACTACACCAGCAAATACCAACAAACACTAACAAATCAAATATGAAGTACTTATGAAGCCTTTTGCTAATTATGGAGTGTGGAGAAAAAATTAGAGGTAGAAGTTTACATGCTTGCAGGTATATATGGTCATATATAACTGAATTAGGTTTCATGACATCTTTGCAAACAGTGCAAATTATTTGCATCCTGTCTCAACTGTCATGCAATATTTTGCATCTGAGAAAACCATGACATTATCTGAAAGTGCCTGCAAACCATGACTGAGAAAGAAATACTTTCCTATAATTATTTCCATCTACGGCTGTCAAGTGATTTGGAACCAATGCCTGACCCATCCAAATTGCCTGCTTTCAAACTTTAAAAGCTGCAGGCTGTGACTAAACTCTTCAGGACCTCAGTTAGAAAACTGCAACTTACTGTGACAAATTAATCCCACATGGATTTACTGCAGGCATATGGGTCCATACAAATTTGAAACTGAAGGCCCGAAAAAAGATCTACCTGCCACGGGCCTAGGGGCAGGCACTAATTTTGAACACTGTTCCTGTCATACCTTAATGTTACAGATAAAGATTCAGGGGGTCCTCAGATTCAAATACTAGACCCCAGGAACCCCCATTATTTCAAACACTGTAGGATAGAAAATGGCTGACTAATCCCCAAAGAGATATTTGATGATGCATACCGAGTTTGTCAGTTTCCACTGGTCTATAAGTTTCAGCAATGTTGTTCAAGACTCAGAATGTACTAACACTACAATCCATCTTCATATTAACCACATACCAACTTTCACTACTGGGTTATCCAATATGTGTCCAGGACACCTTCAAATAGCAACCTTTTAACAAAGAAAATCCATCAGCCAAGAATAAAAGAGTTGCCTGTTAAAGGTGATAAATGAGGCTCATAAATATTTTGCAACATGAAATTGCTTCCTCCCGACATGCTTAACAAAACTGAAGCTTACCTGGTCTGGTTACAAGGTGTGAACTTGGAATTCTAATGGTGCCACTGCCACTGCCACTGTCACTTTATAGGAGATTTGGCACAGACTCCAAACCAAGCCATAGCAATTTCACTTGTGTACAGAATCTGCTTGAAACACTCATGGGCACAAGAGCATGACAACAGGTGAATATTGTGTAGCCTGTGAAAGATTAATCCCAATGTAATTATTCAAAGATTATGATGGGGCACAAGTCGCCCTGTTGTTTAATGTACTGCATTTTACTGTGCAGAGTTCAGTCCCTTAGGGCTGATAGGATCAAATGACAGTGGTATCGAATCACAAAATCCCCCTTATTATGATCTTTGGTTTGCAAGCACCATATTCATGCTCTCAAGTCTAGCTGATTTAGTGGAAGTGCCAGACCTGCATCAATTTGGGCTTTCCTCCTACATTAAACTGACATGCTGTATATAATATAACTTAAATACTGTTCAAAGCAGTATTAAACCAAACTCATCCACAAAACATCTATGAAGAAACTTTTACAGAAGCATTTGAAGCTCTCTTATAGATCATTCCTAACCATGCACACCAAGGGCGGATCTAACATTTATCAAAGAGAGAGGTCCAAAATAGGGGTGTTACGATAAATCGAAATTGCTGGGGAGTAAATCTCATGAAAATATTTGTTCACTTTATATTATTAATGATACTGATAATTCCTGTGAATACTCTATTGGATGAGTGCCAGAATTGATTTACTATTACATTGGCATTTATTTCCCCACTCTGTCTGTCGTTGGCTGGAAATTGGTGACCTAACCCACCGTAAAGTGCATGAGTGAGTGATGTCACTTCCGGTGTTTGTGACGACATTTATGATGCCTTGTTAACCTAACCTTTAGCTAGTCTCACACTTACTAGACAATTTGGTATGGAAGGTTAACTCACCACCTAAGGACAACTGCTGAGGATTAATGCACTACATTGCCCATTCCCACCATGCCCACTTTCTTCACATATTTCTTCCTTGCAAAGGGAGAATGTTTTTGGCGGACGTTGACTGGGCTGCTACTACTGGTCCTAGACTGTATATGCCATGTAGTTCTGGCTGGATATCTTCTAAGATAAAAGATTTTAATGTATACAAGGCCTGGATCTTTTTAAGCAGCAAATACTGGTTTCTCAAGCTGTGCTTGATGATAGATTGGTGTATTGTTTCACTATTATACACTCGTCCGCTGTCCTGGAACTTGATCCACCATGTCCTATGGTTATCCTAGCTCTGCGACAATACCATGAACCGATATGCTAATCGACACATGGTCTATGGCCACGGGGAATGCTGGTGGTAGAATAGCATTAAGTGATGATTGAGCCATGGTATGCAACCCACCTCACACTAGCCTCGTGGCCAGGGGTATCCATCCTGCAGTGACGAAGGCACATTTTATCTGAGTAGAGGGTACAGCAGGGGTTTCACTCCTTCCTCCGTTGCCCCACTGCACCACCTCCTCCTCACTACGTGGTCTCTTTGCCCGGGGAGTTGATGGATGTCTGCTTCGGTACTGCTGTGGCTAGTGGTGTCCTGTTGCCAAACAGTTGCAAGATAAGATTTCACAGTAGCTATCTGCTAGGCCATCTCCTCCTGCAGATTACACTAAGATACAAGTAGCAGCTGGGTGATGTCCTCCAAGGTAATCGGTGCAGGTGGTAGGGACAGTACAGCCTGGTAGGTAGCGTCAATCGTTCTTGGGGCTGGAATTTCTGATGAATCCATTATGGCTGGTGGAGACATAGCTGTGATACTCTTAGTCATCTCCACTGCCATCTTGGCCTTGGAAGCAGTCGACAATTAGCCATCCGCTGAATACACTTGTGGCTAATGAGTCTTCTATCCTCCCTGCACTTCCAGCAATGACGGTGTGGATGTCCCATCACCTTGATGTGTTCACACATCATACAGTTGGAAGTAGGACTCTGGGTCGCTATCAAGAGTTCTAACACACTTATAACTTTATGAAAATAACACTAAACATGTTTTTAGACCGGTTTCAAACCAGATAGTGACTCCATGACAATAATAACACCCAACATGTAGGCATACACAGGAAAAAGTGACTCCGACTGATGTGATCAGTGCTCATGGGGTAAAATTAAGTGTTGATTTCTGGTTGGACAGTGTTCGAAATATGCGTCTGCCCATAGGCCCATGGCAGGTGGATCTCGTGTTGGACACATAGTTTCAAACTTGCATTGGTCCTTATGGCCTGCAGTAAATTTACATGTTGGTTTATTTATCACAATAAGCTGCAGTTTCTTAATAATAAATTTGGGCCTGAAGAGTTTAGTCAGGGCCTGCAGCTTCTGAAGACTGTGGGTCCCGATGGCAGCCTAGCATTTTTACTACTAAAACACTGCAACAAATGAAGAAAAATAAACTACTGCTACAGGCCCCTGGTGATAACTAGTGTGACTGAAGCCAA